TATATATTACAATCTCACTTTCTGCGTAGGCAATTCGCCCCGTATATATATTCGCACCTCGTAGTCGAACCGAGCAAAGCACGAGAACGATAAGCCCCAAACTCAGGCAGACGGAAACTAATGTTTAACTAAGTGGTTTCATTTTTTTTTTTTCGCTTCAAATGGGTCTAGTTAGTTTTGGTTGACAACAATTGATATATAATAACGAAAAAGTGCCTAGTTGTCCGTATGCTGTGCGGGTATTTTACGGTACGATTTGGCACCCCGATACTTACATGCAGTGAAATGAGTTTCTTCGTCAGACTTACACATTTTCATCAGTTTGCCATTTGTCAATTGTTTGCTTGGTTTGGCTAAAATCTAGACAATATTATTTAACCCAGCAATGGCTAATGGCCAAGATACTGGTCCCTGTACAATTATGTCTTTGAGACGCTGTTTGAGATCAAGGAAATATCTCTTAAATTCGATACCACAGCCCCGACTGAGTCGGAAATCGATTAATAGCGAGTCATTCATCTCGAGCAGACTCGCTTTAAATACAAGCCGCTGTCGTCTTTTGTCTTGCAGAGTCACGGTGAATTCGTAGCCATTCTGCTTAAAATTGTACGCCAACTTTCCAAGAATTTCACGTAACTTCGTTGCTGTATCTTCGGCGTTTGTGTTGACAAAGAAACGCGTCATCCTTTTGACAAGCCTCTGAATCGGGTTCTGTGTGGCCTGTGTTGCGCCGCTAGTGAGCTGAGAGTTGAGTAAAATATCGTCAAGACAGGCTGGCTGCGAAAGGCATGAAACGTGGGGTGATGGTTTTTGCGGAACAGCGTCTGTTTCAGAACTTGTGTGCCGCACAAATTCGGGCTGTGATACGCAGAACTGGTCGACAACATGTTCACTCGAGTTGCGGCCGATTTCGATACAGCTCCTTTTGCGTGAGCTTGAAGCATCCTCAAAGCTTTGTACCGTACGCGATGAACCCGATTTAAAGTTTTTCAGAAACCACTGGTGAAGTTTGATCTGCGGTATCGTAAACCTTCTATCTATTCGTGGACTGAGAATTCGACGAAGCAGTGACAGAGCGAGCGTGTCAATTTTTCTCCACAACGGTCGGTGATCCTTATTTTCTCTCCATTCAGCAAATTCATTGCACTGCGTTGATGGTTTGTCCCAAGGTAGTTCGCCGGCTAGCAGAGTGACCAAGATAACTCCACAGCTCCAGATATCGGCTGGCTGTGCATTATACTTTTTTACCAAAACCTCCGGAGCGATGTAAGGTAGCGTGCCGCACTTTTTGTCTAACATTCGTTCTTGGCCCATATGGCGAAATATCGTCGCAAAGCCAAAGTCCGAGATTTTCAGATTGTCTTGCTCGTCGAGAAGTAGATTCTCCGGCTTCAGATCTCTGTGGGCAATTCCCCTACTGTGCAAGTACTCGACTCCTGAGATTAACTGATGAAAGTACTTCTGTGCTAGCGCATGTTCCATACCAACGTCTGGCTCTATACGATCGAACAATTCGCCACCTGCCGCATACTCAAGGAAGATGTAATGAAATTTATCATCTTTTCGACTTCCGAAAAATTTCAAGATATGCTCGTGATTCAGTAGTCTGTGAATGGCGATCTCCTTGCGAATTTCTTGGTATGCGGTTATCTTCCCTCGTAAATCGACGACTTTTACTGCAACTGCCTCCGAGGTTTTTCGATTTACAAGAAGCTTCACCTGAATACAATAAGCAACGCAATAATAAACGGGACAATTTTACATCGACATTAATAAGAAACAAAATACTTAAGTATATTTGAAAAACTATACCCATTATACGAGTGCATACGTAATCAATATTTAAATATACGATAATATTACGTAAAGATGAGGAAATTGTGTTTGATAATTTACCTCGCCATAAGCTCCTTCGCCAAGCACCTGGGTAATATCCCAACCTTCGACGAACTCTGTACAGTCCATGCTGTATTACACCTGAACAACGCAGAAACAGCAAGGCTTTAAAAGCCAAACAAGAAATTATAGATGTATAACTCATCTATTCGGATGGACTAAAATCCTCTTTCATTTACGGGATTAATATTCTAACGGAGAGGATAACTTTTTAGTACCCTCTGACTCAGCACGGAACAACTTTTTTTAACATAACGAATTATATGCGTATGAAAAATTTTTGCACAAGTAAATAACACCTATTACACTGTAAGTAAAATTATTTAATCTAGCCAAGCTAGTTTACCCATTATGTGATCTCTGTATCTGCAATCATGTATCGCCTCTTGTCTCACAGCTGGAACCTCCCAATCATTATCATCATCAGCATCACGGTGCCACTATCTATCGATACAACAAGCAACAGCACGGGAAACGTGCGAATCAAACAATATCAAGCAATAATTGCCTTCGTGGGTGCAATCGCTGGTTTCACACGTAGATGAACTCGTATGTCTACCAGTGATGAAGAGGTACATACCTGCTATAGCAAACTAGTCGCAACTGATCGATGATATTACCAACACAATTATAACAAAGAAACATCAACTTACAGATTGTAAATTTAAATATTTAACGCGCTTTTCAAGTAGGCCACATAATCGCGACGAAATTCCAGGTTGAAACTTGCTCTTCGAGCCCGCGCCTATGCCGTCGCTTTTTCGCGGCAAACCTAACTGACGTAAACAATGCATGATCTTGCTTTCCTGGTTTTGCCAAAAATAGCACTCCGCAGTGGGCGACTCGTCGAGTCGTTAGCGGCCGCCACTCTTCGGGTCTCCGTGGACTACTATAATGACGACAATAATAATAAGAAGCCTACACGAAAACAGATTGCTTTTCATAAAACGTGCATACGAAATGATGTAAGGCAAGAATTTCGAAAATGAAGTTCACCCTGCCGTAGCTCACAATGTTCTAACAGAAATAAGAAAGCCCCGATGAATTACTGTTGTGTGTCTGGACGCCGTCCCAAGCGCCGTCTGGCGGCTTTTTCACGCAAGGCAGATCACGAGCGTCATTCGGTGGGTCGTTCGGTCCGTTTAGCCGCTGATGTGATACTGAGTGTTCTGCCCACCTTTTACGCATTGTCCGAGTGAGTCCTGGGGCCTGTTTTGGTAGAATCAACTGCGACGAACCTTTAACATCGGTAAGCACGATCGCCGATTAGAAGACCTTTGTTATATCGACGCGTATTGGCTAAATGCTAGCCCTATAGAGGTTTGTCTGGAGTGCCGTAGAATTTCAGAGTAATTGTGGATTCTCATCCAGACCCTCTTAATAAACGTACATTGAGTCACCGGCGTGTGTTGGCAACCCGTGTTTATTGTGGACAGTTCGTTCTTCTGCTTCTTTAAATGTTGCTCCGATCGATCTCAATGGAATAATGATAAATTGCGGATATGCAAGAAATACGGTGATATAAGCTCGACCAGTGAGATCAAATGCTTGCTAAAACCAATACAGCTGTATGAGGAATCTTGCTGACGTCGTTAATGGGAGGCGGTTGTAGAAATATTCAACAAGAAGCAAGCATAGGTTAGACTTGTTTGTTGTAGGGAACATTTCAATGGAATTTCAAAGCTAAAAATTGCAACTAATTTAAATTCAGCTTAACTTGGTCAGTATACTGTTAATTTTGTGGCAGCCATTAATATTGAGGTACTCTTGAATTAGCTAGATAATTTTAGAAGGCAGATGAAGTAGTGCCGTTCTGTTCTGCTGGACACTAGTCAAGAACTTGCTTATTAAGAAACTCGTTTTCATTATAAAAAAAAATTCAGAAAAGGTTTTGTCCACCCACCCTTTGTTTTTTTGCAACTCTTGCATGTGAATGACAATTTGTAATATGATAAAGTGCTTCAAAATTTTACTACAATAAGCAACAGGTCCAGTTCATATATTACCACTAATGGTATATTGTACTATGCTTTGTGCGATAAACTGGACGTATCGCTTTATTGTGGTGTAGTCAGGACACAACTTTAAACAAAATTAGTAGTGGTAGTATTGGCACATACGATAAACGTGCGATTTCCATTTGAGCAATTAAGTCACACTAATATGTCATTTAAAATCGAAAAATTTATTGAACCGTTACGCGTGTTGATCGACAACAACACAAAGTCCAACCAATATCAATGTAAGCTAAATTAGCGTATGTTTCCACTTCTCATTGTCCATTTGGCTTTATTTTCAATATATCATATGACATAAGAATTACCTTATTAGGTTTACATTTTAGCCAACGTAATGGTATTTCAAGGTATAACTGAATGGATGCGATGCAATTGAAGGAACATAAAATTAAGCCAGGTGATTTTTCGACACGCTCATTAGTAATAATGTAATTCGGTTAAATATATTAAGGAATCTTCACGGCTCAAACACTCGTAATTTCGTTATGTTAGCTTCAACGCATCTAGGCCACCCTTAGTACAAATTTAACGCAACTATTGAGATAGCAGCCTTTGTTGATTGGCTGCTGTTTTTAGCGCTAGTAGTTCCTTGATGAATCACATACGAAAAGATGTGTCCGTAGACGATATCTCAGTACATCCACAACAACATGCAGATCAAACGTTTTTTTACATGCCTCAGATACTGAGTTGATGCGCGTAAATTGATGGTTTTGTATATCCTTTGCTTATCCACGACACCTTATGAACAGATATGAAGCTCATGTGGACCCTGTTTGATATATTAGAATAAATCCTCTATTGTCAAGGAATCTAGTAGTTAACTTGTTTTTTTTACTAAGATAGTAATTATAAAATTGCTTGCCGACTGAACTTGCCGGCCTTGTGTTTAACATTCAGTGATAGCAATTAAAATTGTCTAGAATAACGGATTAGTATAAATATCCACAGCAAAAATCTTGGACAAATCTCCGCTTTCAATTAACTACAAACAAATATGAACTGTAGCAGTAGGGCAATAGAGGGCGCCAAATTCAGACAAACGGCCAAACACCGGTGTCTTTCAAAGTGGCATTATCTAATCATAAAAAAGAAATATTATGATGGTTTAGATTGATTTAAGCCTTTTCTAGTTAGTACACAGTTTGTCCTTTTTTGTAAGGTATGACCCTTAGTAATGCTCCCGCTAACGGCTTGTTAACTGTGACGTGTGAAAATAATTGCCATATATATAAACGAAGATCAAAATTACCCCACACATAGAGTATTTGAGAAATTCAGCCATGGAAATAACTTGTATCTACGTTAAGTTTGGAGGCTGATTATTGGTGTTTACCATGATGCTAAACTCTGCACGCTTAACTCATGTCTCTAGCTAAACAGAAACGTTTTAGTTATCAAGTACGTTTTTAACGTAGTTCGGTCACTTTCTTTTTCTTGATTGCAGTTGAGTTTGATAAACTACCGGCTGTCGGCTGACCCATTGTCCGTGCTGGTTTCCATTGCTTTTTAACAGGGACTTAAGACATAACGGTGACAAGTACAATGAGCTCTTCTGAGGAGGTGTCGTGGATTTCGTGGTTCTGTGGGCTGCGCGGAAATGAATTCTTCTGCGAGTGTGATGAAGACTACATTCAGGACAAATTCAACCTAACAGGATTAAACGAGCAAGTAAAGAAATACCTCTTGTATTTTGACTGTACAATAAGTGTGATTACGCAATAGGATGCAGTTGTGGCCGTTTGTTGATTACTCTTCAATACAATTTAATGATAGAATTTCTCCGAAACTAGTTCTTTGTTGTACCGTTTTATAAAATCTTGTTCTATACTGCCGCTGTGTATAGATTTTTTCACGTCATCGGTACTATTTTAAGTCTCAAGTATGCGGTTTAAGACACTCAAACTTATTATTTTGAAGATATTTCTCTATCAAAAGAAACGCCTCTATATTGTTGTATTGTTTAGGTTCCGCATTACAGGCAAGCATTGGACATGATTCTGGATCTCGAACCAGATGACGAGATTGAAGAGAACCCCAATCAAAATGACCTGATTGAGCAGGCTGCTGAGATGCTTTATGGGCTCATACATGCCCGATACATTCTTACTAACAGGTGAGTGTAGCGGTCATCAAAGAAATATGAAATATCTTCAACAAAAAATAATTCTGATCCTGTCAAACCATGCATATTACCACATTCCAGGACCCGTATAACGCGGTAGTGGGAATTATCACTATTTTCTATAGCCTAAATTATTTTAATTTGTGTGAATACTATGAAACTCTTTCTTTATCTTATCCTAAATCTAATCTGTCCTATTTATAGAGGGATTGCCCAAATGGTTGAAAAGTATCAGAACGGGGATTTCGGCTACTGTCCAAGAGTGTACTGCGAAAGCCAGAACCTTCTTCCAATTGGTAAGTTTTCCCAATTTTATTGTACTCACAGTAAGTAGAGTTAATGGCGTTACTTTCTTTGTGGTCTAACTTAGTTATTTTTTGACAAAACAGCGGTGCGTGGCAAACACTGTTATTTTGAACACATGCTGCCTTTAAAATGTAGTGGTTTGAAGTGCTTATTTAGGGAATTTATCTGAAGTGTACAGCTTAAATTATATGCCTCCGTTATCACAGTATATGTTAAACAGCATCATATAATACGCTAGTTACGTGTAATGCCTTTTCTCATTCGTTCAATTCTTTTGTATGTTGTAAAACACGTTTTTCCATAGGTTTGAGCGATGTTCCCGGAGAGGCAATGGTGAAGCTTTACTGTCCCAAGTGTATGGACGTTTACAATCCAAAGAGTACGCGACATCATCACTGTGACGGCGCATATTTTGGTACCGGCTTCCCGCACATGCTCTTCATGGTTCATCCAGATTATCGACCAAAGCAACCTGTAAAACAGTTTGTGCCGCGACTGTACGGTTTCAAGATTCACCCGGTTGCATACCAGATCCAGGGAAGCGCGGGCACTTTTAAAGCGCCGGCTCGCTCCATCGTGTTCAACAATGGCAAACGCTGATTGACATCCCATCCGATAATAAAATACACACATATATATATACATAAATAAATATATATATATATATATATATATATATATATATATATATATAGAAGCAGAAACAGCACGCATAATTTGCATGCATTCAGACAGACGTGCCCACATACGGACATTCATTAATAGCGACAATGGTAATATGACAAACTATAATTGCTATTGCTTCTACTATAATAACAAACGCCCACATCGCAACACAGCCGCAACAGTCAATTACTACAATATCGTATAGACCGACAAACCAACAGACAGTCACATTCAAATGGGAACCCGTTGAATTCGATATTTAGAAAACTCAGTGAATCAGTGGGAAAGCATGGTGAGTTGGACGAAACAATACTGAATGTGTTAATCTAGTTTAGGTAGATTATATATTTAGATAGATAGTATGTATGTATTATTGATCTAATTCGATAATGCGAACGAAGGGATGCAAAAGCAACAACGTAAAATGGTCAACAAAAATAGCAGTACCAGCAGCAACAATAATAGCAATAACAGAATAACACACCCGCTGCCGCCGGACGACACGGGAATTGATTCTAGTTCCAGATCAATTTAGATGATACGCCTGGGCATATTTTTACGTGAAATGTATTATTATGATTATATTATTATTAGCATTATCATTCCTGATTTCTGTCCGAATTGTTATTCGGCTTGATACACTGTAACAAGCGGTTGAATTTTTAGGATTGCCAAGTAGCAGGACACTAAAATTGGGAAATTGAGATGTAATATCTGTGGCCAGTTTCCATCGTTGTTTTGGACGTGCATCACTATGATGCCACACAATGAATGCACAACGAGTGTTTTTTGGAGGTGTGAGGGTGTTGGAAGGTAGATTTATAGGGAGTGTTGGGATGATTTAGGCTAGCTAAGAGCAATTACAACGCTACGAGCTAGATGTTTTACAACACTGTAGTAAGGTTATAATAATAATCAATTCAAAGAGAATTCAAGACAGCTGAGATATTCAGCAGTGGTCCCGCTATGGTTGTAAGCCAACAATGCTAAAGACACATAGGATGCCTTGTGGTGAATCAAGGTGTAATATTGAAATGTGTGAACACGCACAGGCATAGTCACGCACCAAATAATGTACTAAAACTATGAAGCAGTAGTAGAACATCTAATTTTCATCGCAATTGCCACTCGAGTACAGAAAATAAGCTACAACGAGTGCGTATACACGACAAAAAACAGTTAGTAATAATAATAATCACAACTCTAGATACTCCATGTTCTCAAGAAATGGGCGAGGAAAAGGGGAAAGTAAGCCGTTAAGTAAATTAGAAATCAAATGGATGCAAATATTGTGAAATTAATAAACAGACAAAAAAAATAAAGATATTGGTTGGTTAAGAATGGCGATGAAGAAGGCTTTATCATAGTGTGAAGTTTTATTTGGGCGAAGCGGACGGAGATAATTATCCTGTTATTTTGCGTAAATTTGGTAACGATAAAAACGAGCAAACATATGACCTTACTTTTTTGTATTGTTTCATATTTTGCAAAAAAATCACCTGTGTAACAACATGGTTTGCTATTAATATGTTAAAAGTAAAGCCACTAATTTCTGTAATATGTAGCATTTGTTGTGACACGAGAAAAAATCCTACAATTGAGGTGAGGCAGTTTACCAAAATACAGAGCTGTATGTAGATTCGAAAAGATGGAAAGATTTTATAATGATAAAACAAGCGTTCACCTATAAAAAGTCTATCCGTCTTTAATTATAGATCTTGAAATGGATTGATATAACAAATATACATCTTTTAATCGATACGCTTGCGTTGGAGAAAGCCGCAATAAAAATGTGCGACATGGGTAGCGCGGGTGCTGCTGGTTGATATTGAAACAGAAACACCATATAGAGTATTCCGTAATTAAATACCTAAATTAGTGTGGGTGGTGGATATATACATATATATATTCTATCAGTATAGGAAGATTCAAAACATTTTGGGTTTATATGTAGCGCATCGTTGCTTTACTATTCACTATATACTAGCATATCGTCGCGATGAAGCCATCATATTGTCGCAAATCAATGCTGAAACACGTCTCTTTCGATAGGCAGTTGAGGGACACACGTGTAATAACATACGTGGATAGCGAGGTCCTCTAGATTTTTTGTGGCTGTAGCGGGGCACACCTAAGCTTTGTTACTGGATGTTTGCCGAGGACTTAGTACTAGGAAGAGGAATGAGAGGCGGACAAACAAGATGGCGAAGTATTGAAAGCGCTTATCAACAGTGAGACTGACCTCTAAAGGCTGATATGAGTTATTACCTTTGTATAGGATGTGGGTAGTGAAGGAATTGACTGGGAGCAGGAGCGATTACTTCCAATGAAAAATAGCCGTGACAATGGGTCGGTATGGGATGTCTGAAGGTTTCCACTGTCGCCCACGAGGAGTTGGACACATGAAACGACGATTTGTCTGCCAGCTAATGTGAAGCGATTGGTAGACCACGGTGTATGCAACCATACACACTGTCGTATACAAGAGACGTGAATGAAGTCAGCCTGTACGGACTGGATTAAATGAGAAAAACAACATCAGTATAGTTAAAATCACTACAATTTATATCCATTACATTAGGGTAGTTAGTAGAGCGCTGCCTAAAGTAGCGGACGCGAATACAAGTCGGCGAGGGGATGGAAACGAAGTTGCGTGCTTCGATTTTAGTCCATTTCCAATGAATAAACGAAGTGGTAAATCTCAAAACAATGTAAGAATGTAACACTTTCGATAGCGAGTAGCAGATTTTCATGCAAAACTTTTATGAATTAAAAGGCTAACAGAATAAAAATTGTCCTAGTAGTTTTTGGAGAAAGTTGAATTCCAATAGGATCGAAGCAAAGAAGGGGTTCGGAGGACGCGATAGACGACGTGCCGTCAAGCAGACAGACAGTGGTGCGTAAAGGTTCAAACACAACAACAAAGGCGCCTAGAGAAGCTGAGAGAGAATGGCAAACTAAAAATGATGGTAAGAAATGAACGTGAACACGGGGAAGGTGACGAAGAAATAGACAATTTACCGGATTGTTATCACATAATCGCTGAGTGGCACAGAGAAATGCAAAAACATGTCCACGACAATGACATCCGGTTTGGGAACGGGTGATTATTATAAACATTACCATTATTATAGTTAACAATAAGAGTAACAAATGCGGACACAGAGAAAAACGTTCAAGTCGGATGGAATAGAGACACGCCGTGTCGCATAGATCTAAGACTGTAGAGGTAATCTTAGGAGAGTAGTCGACGTTGCGAAGCAGGATACCTATAGACAAACGGAAGTAACAAGCATGCCATGTGTGTATATAAAAAAACATAGTATGCAAATAAAGCAGACAGTGAGATGTCTCGTCTGGACGCTACCGCACTACTATGACTTTGACAATACACCTATTATCATTATTATTGCCATTATTTGAAAAACTACAACTGTCATTACTATCATTGTTACCATTGTTTTTAATAAAATCGCTTTATAATTTTACTATTGCTGTCATCTGCATAGATTATTAATTTCTAAAGAAAATAATGAAAAAGAGGGAAGGCAAAGCTTCGTGAAAACGGTACACAATTTATAATTATAATACTAATTAAAATTTTACTAATATTATAATGGGATAATAATGTTATTTGTTGATGGCACATGATAATGATGATGATGACCATTATTCCATTGTAATGCTGAATATGTTATCTTGATTGTATCGATGGAAAAATAAATCTAGTTCTCAGATCAATCAAGGCGTAATTTTTATATAGACGACCGATAAGTTATTCCAATAATTAGGTTGCTCATGTAGTTTCTTAAGAAGCATGAATCGATTTCTGGTACGGCACTTTTTGACATCGCTGCCCCTATATACTCTATAGGCTAGTATACATGTGCCTAGTTGACTCAGAAACGCGGTGAACAGAGATGCAGATTCGTTCTATGTCTTGTACGAGCGTGAAGTTCCCAAACAGAGCTTACCGCAAATACCCATTGGCAGCATTAATTATTGTGGACGTTTTACCCTTCTTGCGTTTGGAGCAATAGGAGCTACTGCATTGTCTTCTACATCTCCTACGGAACCGGTGATCCCTGTTGCCGTGAATGCTTGGCGGGCGTTGAACTGTATTGACATCCTGGCTTCAGTTCCTGGCGCCAATCGGAAGAAGTGCGAGGAGCTAGCGGGGTCAATGAGGCGTAGGCTTACCCAAGCAATTCTACAGCCGTCACTGCACGCTATTATACAAACCTGTTTCAATATAAAACCGCTTAGCACAATTTCGCTAAACAATTCTCGTATCGGCATTTTTGTGAGTGATGACTTTACTAGTGGTGGAGCAACGTCAAGAGCTTATATGTTACGAGAACACAATTAAGCGGCCTCAATGTTCAGCAACGTATTTTAGTAAATATGGATTCTGTGGTTTCCCTAGGTCTTGCACTCACCTTTTGCACATTTTTTTTTGCAGTGACAGTGCTGTAACAGCTACTGTTAATTAGAAATGCCCTTTTAGCGTTATTGGTTAGGCCATTTTTATTTGGATATGGCCTTTTAGATTGCTTTGTGTATGGCTATAATCTTGTAACTTCGGCATACAAAGAAGAAACCGACTTTTTAAGTGGAGTATGCCGAGCTTACGTAGAAAAGACTGTGAGGAAGGTAGTAGACGTAACTTTTAGCTTGGTCTGTTGTAGTGCTAATCTTTCCTTGTATCAGGTACTACGGGCACATAAAGTAGAGATGTTCAGTTTTTGAGCTGCTTTTACTGATATGTTCAGATTAAACTTTAACAGAGGCACTAGCCCAAGGTATAATAATGAGAAAACAACAATATTTGTAAAGATTAAACAGTAATAGGCAGAATAGACTGCAAGAAATATTGATGTTTTTAAAACTGTCAATATAGTCCAACGTATTATTAAATGCCAATAGCATTCAGTGAGGAGCCAGTTACAGTTTACTGCCGTCAAGTGATGGTTGTCAACATCTACAATATGATTTTCTACAGTTTTCGGAACCGATAATATTATTAAAGTTCTCCTTTTAAAAGATCCCTGCTTGGTTTTAATGATATAGGAAATGATGTTACTCACTTACAGACTGACAAAGTGGCACAAGCTAAAACAATAATTTGTCTATTTCGGATAACCTTACACAACGTTTATACTGTGCCGGGTTTTATTGTATTTATCAACGTTGTCGACTGTCTGTTGACCCGGAAAATCATCGGGGGTACACTCTTCTCTCAATGCGAAAGCATCGTATGGTTGAAAAATTCCTTCAAAACCAAGACATAAAGGCTCTTAGTAATTGAACCACGGACGCTTTGTCAAGCCCTCGTTTCGAAATAAGGGCGTACCCGCCAACCCGATGTGTTAATGGCCTGATGAGCAGAGGATACGATGCGCACTGTGATAGGTAGTACAATTGATTCTGGCCAAAGTAACGATAAGGATAATGGGAGATTTAAGCAAAATAAATATTGGGAAAACAGAGCAGATTCACTGGGCAGCGGCTACACAAATTGTCGGCATGATAATTATGTACTCGAGAATTACCTTACCATTATATTTCCACCATTACATCACATACCAGGAATAAACTCTAATAAGCTAAATCATTGGAATTCGTATCGGTCGATAAACGGTAACCGATATTGGCAAGACAGTCCCGCAATCTATCCCGAAGTCTTTCGACACTATCGAAATATGTAGACGTCAGCAGGTCTGCAACCAGCCGGCAGACTTATGGAAAAGACACCGTATCCGCGATACCATTATCGGCCTGGTGACAAAAAAACAGATATGAGTTTTGAAGAATATGGTTAACAAACGATGATACCAGTATGACGCCTTTAGTTTGCTTGATGATTTTTAATTTTGTATTTCAATCATACCAATTTTTTTGCATATTGGTAACGGCATTTTGTACGGATAGCTGCTTTTGACTACGTTCACTTCATAGAAAAATGATGATAAGAAGGTTTCTCTGAATTCTTCTAAACCGGATTTTTTTAAAATCATAAATTTCTCGCTGAAGTCTGCACTGCTAAAAATGCTTGGTGGTGTTTACAGTAGCGGCTAGATAGCGATAGCAAAAAGCTGAGTGGTAGAAAAAGGATGAGTAACCACAATTACTCAAAATAGGTACATCTCTCCGTTTTGCTTTCTGGGTTCTCACTGTGACACATATAGCCTGTAGTGAATCAGCTATCCTCTTTGGTAGGAAAAAAGGGTACTGGCAAAAAGTATTAAAATCGAATGCTCTATTGTTCATGCAAATTACGCTTTGTGCATTGACTGAATAACAATGAGGTAAACGTTCAAGCTTCAAAGTACCTAATTATGAATAAGTGCAAAAAAGGTTCCGCCGCTATAGGCGACCTATAATTTCGTCACATATCAAAGGATTCGCAAATGAAGCCTTTTAGAAAAAGTAGGCCTTGATAGTTATATGGCAGCTTCCTGAATATACTAAAGTAATTTTAAAATTCTTGAAAGATGGAATCATTTGAAGGGAATACCACAAGTATTTGATTAATAGATTTAAAAACAAAGAAGTGCTTTATCGAAACCTCATAGAGAATTATGTTAGCCTAGAACAAAATTGTAGTGCGATACGTTCTTAAGTAAAATATTGAAAGTATTAATTTACGTGTGGATACAGGAAAACACGTTCACAATGGCCCAGATTAGCCTTTACCATACTTTTACCTCCAGTTGTTTTGTTACTGTTTGTTAACGTTGCCCAGGGGGTCATTCCAATGATGTATTTTTAGCAGATACGGACTTTTCACTTGCCCATATAATACTAATGTTCACCTCCTCATTCGTTCTCCGCGAAAAGCGCAAATTCTTGTGCCAAGCTCATCTTATATTATCTTAAACAAAAAGATACTAAAACTTACAAAATGCTTTCCTACATCTACGTTTTTTCTTCAGCACGGAAGAGCAAACTGGTCGAAGCAGTTGAAGTAGATTTAAACAACAGTACATTGGAAAGATTATTTGTGTCCATAGCGGAAATTTGCCGTTATGTACGTATATATCATTAAAGTTCTGTTACTTTAATTTCAGAAGTTCATAGAAGACAAGTTATATATTCATAGCAATACTTCAGTAATTGCTTGCAATGTGGAATCTGAAGAGAAGAAGTAACAGAAAAAACGGCACGGACGGTCAGACCCACAAACATATTTCGTGTTTCACAAATGCACACACACCTTTGGTATCTGGTACTTTTCACACTGTTAACTGTGGTAACTTCAAATTTACTTCCATAATTACCGTGAAGTTGAATGTGAACAGCGAACTTCGTAGCTTCCAGTAAACTTAATGGAAGAGCATAATCAAGAATTCTTTATAGTTGACCTGTTAACATACATCTGCTGCTAAAACATTTTTTTATCCGTCACAATGAAATTTTTTTTTAAAAAACTACATTGTGGAAGGGGTGTTAGATGTGGCGAGGTCTCTGGATAGCTCGTTGGACTTGGGCGGCAGGAAAAGCCCGTAAGATATTTGTCCGTCCACCTCATTTTGAGAAACTTCCACTGAGTGTGTCAAGCATTGAATGGTGAAATGTTGAAAGTCGCGGAGGGCAAAAGGTGTTGTTCACTGTAATACAGATATATGTGAGTAAATTCAAAAACATGCAAATATAATGTTTTTATAAGTAGCTAAGTGTGTAGTAGTAGATCGCATAACGATATTCTTGCATTTTCATATACGGTGTCGGCGGAGCTCGCGTTAGTTTACACTGGGCTTCCGCTACGTAGACTTTCTATTTATTTCAAACATATCTTTAATATTTATTCTTAAACCTTTTAGAATCAAGTAGCATTTTATTATGTAAGCAGATCCAGTATGCCTAATACGTTTAAACCTTGATTTCATTTTGCCTCCCTAATTTAGAGCGCCTATAAATTAGATTGCGAAACATTTCGGTAGATAAGATAATTCAGCAACAGCTTTTCGTTTACGAGAAATTGATCTTTTAACAATTTTTATTTCTTTGCCCTGGAAAACATGGCCCTCATCTTCTGATGGACAAATAGAGATCACTTACTTTCGTTAACTGGCCGAAGCAGATACGATCGAAATCATCTTATGGTTTGATTAAATAAATCATGTACGCTCTGATATCGTAAATGGGCGGCAATTAATTTACGATGTCGTAAATCAATTACTTCCGAATGATAACTGTAGGCAGAGCCGATGAAGGGTCTGATAGCATACGGAAATTTCTTTTTTTGCCTATTTTTCTCACGGCCAAAACAATAAGTTCGCTCATAGTCTCATATTCTGTTTGAAACATCAGAGGAACTCACCCATATTTAGCGCGTGTGAGGTACAGTAGTCTGAATAATCATCCATTGTTAGGCGATACGTTCCCTTACGCATATAAGTTTAGTGAGAAATGAGGAAACTTGAAAAGACTTAAAAAATCAGATAGTAATTGGTTTGCTCAAACAAAGTGGCGTGTTCTACATTCTGGAGGTGTTCTAGGAGTGCGACAGAGAGTCTTAATTCTCTTTTTTACGATGTATGCACACAAAAGCTCTTATTATGAATCGCCACACTACGAAGACAACTACGACCGTTACTACAGTTGTTTACGAAAAGCTGTAACTGTGGCCACGGCTACTATCGGAAACAATCGACAATTTAACGGATGCTGTAAAGCGGCATGGGTCGAGTTTGCGACTAATGCGGATTCGAGGTCTACAGATCCCTTTATTTTGTGCTTGTACCACGGTTCTCTAAACATGTACTAGATTTTACCGATCTGTGAAGTGGAGCTGGTAATGACACTGTAAGTATAAAAACGAGAATGTTTACAAAAAAATGTATTCTGCTATTTCGCATTTGAACTTAGCATGTAGTACTAGTAAAAAATGGACCACATTTTTCTAAAGCCATTTGCATACGGAAGTACATTTCTGTGATCTTGATTTCGCCACAGGCTTTATTGCTACAGAAAATCAGCAGCAATAAGACGCTTCCTTTCGAACGTTTTGATCCTATCAAGTTTATTCCGTTCATATATTTATACGTTATCGCAATGGCGGGTATTATAAACCCGAACTGAAGGCGTCCTGTAAGACCAAACATAGTCTATATCTACCTCCCGTGGTGATAGAGTATAATATAGGGTAAACCTTTTTTTTACTTGTACGATAATAAATCTTGGTTAACTAGCTTTGAACCCGCGCATCATGTGCACTCAATCGAATCAACATCACTGAAGCATAGAAAATGGTGCCATTTAGCCTGGTTGAACATAACTACCCGTAAAAGTTTATTGGTTACTCCAATTCTAAACGAACAGTTATAGGGCAACACACTTAATATGTAAAGGAATCGAAAAGGGGCATGCCATGTAAAGTACCATGTGAACCACAAAAGGTCTCTTTTTTCTGTAAAACCTTTTTATTGACAAAAACATATACCCACATTAAAGTAAGCCATGTATTACGTATGCGCTTTACTTGGTAGAATAAATAATTTATCAACGCCATTAGATGAAAACATTGACTGAATGTTTTTAGGTTGCCGTTAAACATTCTATAACGAACTTTGGTTATTCAAACTAGACTGTTACGTGTTTTTAAATTTGGTTTAAATTATGGCGGTTATGTTATCAATGGTACAATTTATTGGCTAACATAATCAAGCTGAAATCAAATAATGTATACGCTCATGAAAACACAATTACGACTGTTATAACGTACATAGTTACTTATGACTTCTGAACCAAAAATAATGAGAATTCGGAATATAAAAAAAAAGCATTTTAGTTATTTTTAAAAGCTAATATGTAAATCTAACTGTAGGACAATGGACGTTACTTCTAGGTGCTTGCCATTGTAGGGTGTATACTCCAGCCAAGACTATAGTAGGACTTGCTGAAAGCATAACTTCGTTCCCGTTTTTCGTAAGCCTTTCCCTGTATCGATATTTACTTTGCAATATTACTACTTTGACTCAGCTTTTAACTTAGAGCCAAATACAACAAAGCTATTTTATTACAGCCGCAGCTTAGAACGCTCGTCATCCATATTTATATGGCTCGCCATGCATACAATTTGTTTTTACAACAAAATTATATTTGCTGTTATAGGAAATAAGGAAAAGAAGCATGACGCGAACGCAAATGAAAAAAATATTCGTTTCGTGTCTCTCAGCGCTTACGACCATCTGTGACGCAGTCAACAGGCCTTCGTGGGCTATCAGTTCCCACCAGCTGTCTACATGCTATGATTTTATAATCGGTGCTTTTTTCACTGCTTTTAAACTAACTGTAAATTTGCCTATATATATTTCTTCGCAAAGAAAGTGTATATTTTATACGTACGATCTATTTTAAGATACTTCCACTACAAAAGCCTCAGATCACAACCTTTACTACTTAAGTGGTCTGTCGGGGTACATTTGGTAGATTATTCAGTTTACTTAATTTCTTTAAAAGTCAATTATATATTTAGAAGTCTTAATTGGATTAACCAGTTTGAGGGCTTAATAAGCAAAACTAACTTATTTCTATTTTGCGTTATGTATACGCTTTATTTATGCTAACCAGAATAGAGTCCTAGAGTGCATTAAAATAATGCGGTAAAAATATTAAGCTATTTGTAGCCTGTTTTAAATAATCCTATATTCGATGCAGGAATCTATAATAAGAGTCGAATAACTGGTCTGGTAGGATAGCTTCATAATGAACTATGCATGTATGTGCTATAACGGAAACGCATCGATGCACTATGTCAGCTGCTAGATCTTTCTGTAAAATAAAAAACGCGCATCTCGATTCAGTCGGCGCAGGCTCTGCAGGATGCCGTCTGGCAGAAAAACTTTCGGCCATTCAAGATGTGAAGGTGCTCCTCTTGGAAGCAGGCGGTGCTCCCCCGGACTTCACTGCAATCCCTCTCCTCACAAGGCTTTCGTTCGAGGGCGATTGGGTCCAAAGATACCGAGTCGAGCCTATGAAAAATGCATTCATTACAAAACCTAATCAGGTAGGGTGCGCTAATACCAATGGTGAGTGGAATCAAGATCAAATATTTAAGAGATGTGTCTGGGAAAGAAGAACTCATAATTTAGTATACCTGTGACGCGGTATTACTGTGTTACCCGGTCCAGTAAAGTAGGTCCAGCTGTGGCATTGTTCCAAACTGTCAGCCTACATATTTTCTACGTACAAACGAAACAGTCATTCAAGCGGATACGAGATTTATTGTTCGTAGCAAATTAAAGTATCTACTGGAACAGCAAAATCTTTCAATAAAGAATGGGTAACGCCATTGGAAGTTCCAGTGAGAAAATGCATATAGTTGGTGAATCTGGATGGCTTGTCATCGATCCTTATCTACTTCTATCACTGTGTAACTTAACAACCCTTGTCTGAGCGTCTGTGTGGTTGAGCGATTAACAGCATGTACGCCTTCTACAACGCCGTAATATGGAATGATTCGTAGAGAAGCTGCGAACAGCAGAACTGGCCAAAGGTACAGCAAACTGGTTCTTTTGCAACTATTCAAAATAACTCTAAACTATCTCTTTTTAGCTGCTCTAAAGTTCGCGTAGAAACCCACACGCGAAGCGGAAGCGACGACAAAGACCTAGGAGGTCCAAAGAGTCATAATTGTCTAACGAAACTGTTGAATACTACTTGCTTTGCCCAACACCGCTACTCAGTCAATCGATCTTCTAAAATGACGAAAACAGAACGTATCTTCATTGACGCTGCCTAATTATTACGTGACCGATTCCTTCGCCATTCGTACCAGGAGTAGTGGTCACGCAAGAGCTTGTATCATCCCAATCCACAATTATTGCCTGCGCATTATAAAGCTGGTTGCCACAGAAGACAACTGTACAATTATAGTAGGATAGAATTAGCGATATCGCAATGTTTTTCGACTGGATTAGAAGGTGACAACGAATCGATAAAGGAACAGGTCAAATACAGTCGACTAGGCCACAAAAAAAAAAAGCAGATGATCGAATCGAAGTTTTTGAACCTCTATTTACCACAAACATCTGTGTACATCTGAAACAAAAATCTGCGTTGGAAAAAGCCGTGGAGCTTCTCTGAAGCTCCTTAACTATGAGCGAAATGTTTAGTGAACCCGTGAGAGCGACGGTTACTCTAGTACCCTACTGGACATCCTTGTTTCACCTTTACTCAAATAAAAAAAAATCGAGCATTAACTTTTAAAGAAAAAGGGAACTCTGCAGATTCGAGGTCTTGCAAAGGAATTATGAAGAAAAGCTCTATCTACTAGGTTTTATTAAGCATTTTCATACGATGTTTAACTTCGTTCGTAGAGTAGCGTGGTTGTCTGCCAAGCAAGCGACATAAATTCCGTGCAAGCGACTGCATGTGAGACTTCTATGAATGAAATAAAGATAACGTTAAGCTTTCTTGATCTACCCCTCTACTTGATTTTTCACCTGGAAAGCAGCGTTTGACCTGCGTTTGAAGACTATCGTATTGATAAGATGTACATAATCGGGGGTATCACTCAAAGTGTCACAGAGTAATCCTATATTTCTTAATAATAATATCACACAAGGAAGCAGAGTTAAACACTGAGATTCGCATTTAGCTAGCTATGCTTCGTTTTTTCTTTTGTGAACGACGTGTTACATCTCTAGCGACGACACTCCTTCGTGAAAACGATCTTATAGCCATGCCACAGCGTAACGTAAAACAGGAGCAGATTTCAAATGCAACAAGTATTAATAATCTAGGGCAAATACATTTTTTGACTCGGCCTTCGAATTCAAAATGCCAAAACAGAAGATTGCTGTCAAGTTTACAACGAAAGGAAGACTTGCCAATAGTAGCTCTTTTCATCTAAACCAAGCATCTCTAAAAACTCAACTTTTCGTGTATTTCGGATTGAAACTAACTATAACAGGGAGGTTCTTCGCTGACTAAAAGAAAAAGAGTTAGGAAGACAATCATTGTAGTTGCCCTAATTAAATTAAAAACCGCTAAATCGGTCAGTGTGTCTTGAAGAACTAGCAAATAGAAATATTTGCAATATTATACCACAGTTAACAATTTGAGAATTACGTTATTTCATCCGCGGAGCGCAAGGATACCACTATCTAGAGAATAAAAGTCCTTTTGCTAATAATTTGCTAAACTAGATACACCATAATTATGGGCATAATTGAGCCGGCCAGCACTGCCGAATCAGATTAGTGAAACGATTTGTTAACTTGAACATTAGACCATTTTATAGTTTTACTACATATTGCTCGTTTACGTAAACCGTGTGAAATAGAACAGATATGAGTGTCAATATCATTATAAGTATTATGCTCTTATAGCCGCAGAGCATAGTAACAGGGCGGGTGCTTGGAGGCGGCAGCAGTATCAACCTAATGAACTATGAGCGAGGCTCGCTGCGCGATTATGATACCTGGGATAAAGATTATGGAGCCCGTGGGTGGAATGGCGAGGAGATGTTTAAATACTTCCGGTTCGATGAGAACAACCATGACTATGAACTTTCAGGTATGTATATGTTGAGATCATCAAACTGCAATTTCTCATTGTTTGATAGCGTACAGCGTGCGTAGTAGAATTACATAATGTGATACGTTGCCCCACATGTTTTCATTCTGACACACAAGTTCGTTCTACCGTAATTGGCATTACTACTCGATAAACTTTCGTTATATCAAACCTTGTTATGCAATGAAGTATTTGTTTTGCATGTAAAACCTGTTCCCTTTAATGCCTCCAACAGACGAAACACACGGACGCAAAGGAAATCTTCAAGTGACCTCTTCGTATGATACTAACATTCTTCGAGGATTCTTTGGAGCCTCAAGTCAAATGGGTTACTCAGTACGTGACATAAATGACGGCAACGTCGAAGGTGAGTCTTAATTCTATGTCTGAAGGTTATATAAACCACGCCTACCTTTCTCTTTTGGAAACAAGTCTAACTGTCTGCTCTGGTAAAGTAATATTATTAGAAGCGAGGTTTACAATCTAGTTGACAGCTCAAACTTCTAGGGGCCCCCCGATCGACGCACGCTAAAGAAAGGGCTGTTGTTTTGCTGTTTATAATAATTCTCCGTTTTTGCCAAGAACGAAATGGTAATGGGTACTAGAAAGCGATCGCCGCTGTTTTTTGTTCGAGCATTTTTTGACTGGTGAGTAATAGTCGTCTATTCGCATTTTCGAAAATCATGATTTGATCATTATCATAGGCGTTTATCGGATGCAAGCGACAATCGGACCAGACGGACATCGTTCTTCAGCATTCACGGCCTTCATTCAACCGCATCTCGGAAGTCGAAAAAATCTTCACGTGGCGATTGGCGCTTTTGTCACTAAAATTATCTTTCAAAAGACCTCCGATCCGTACGTATTTAAGCAGAAGTTGGCGTTAGGCAGCCAAGAATCCTTCAAGCTTCGTCACTTAACACAAAACGAACTTTCATGGTTAAGTGTTTACAATCCTACAGAGTTATACTCCTTATTTACTGACGGCTTTGAGTCAAATCACACAGTGCAGATGAAGCAGTATTATTGTATAGTTCCGTGTTTATTTTCTTAAAAGCCATAATTTAGGAGAAATTAGGCTTGACATAAACTATGTATGAGAGAACCTGAAGCACCCTTTGTAGAAAAAGTCGTTTTTAAATGTCATGCATTTTGTCGAATTGGAAATAAAATTGGATGGCGCTTCTGCTTCTGGCGGTTGTATACTATGTTTCGACAGAAGAACTATTGCGCGCACAAACTTCTAGTTCAATTTAAAATAATGTATTCCTCAATTTTGTATTCCAAAGTTAATAATGCCTGTAGTTTCTAAGCACTATATGTAAATCTTCTATAGATTTCTACCCAATAAATATTTAGGTCGATTGTCGATTCTCAATGTCCGCTCGATATTTACGAGGTAACCTAAAATCTTTATTCAGAACATTGAGGGTGCTACTTTTTGCAATTATAAAAAAAGCCTATATGTGCCATTGAAAATTAAATGCGATTGCCCGTTTAAAAGCTGACTTTTTTCGGCTGTGGTTGAGCTTCATTTTGGGTGAGCTGCATGTTATGTTTCAATGATAGGTTCGTTGGAACTAGTTCTACTCGAATACGTCTTTCTTTGTTTCGATTCTGAAAAACTTGTCTTAACTCTGTAATTTAAAGACAAGAAAAAAAAATAAAATATGGTTGACAATTATAGCATTTACTGTTCACGGTGCTAAATTGCTAGAAACGTGACTACAGCCCACGGTGTGGAGTTCGTCATGGACGGTAAACACCACAAAATCTGCACCCTTAAGGAAATCGTTCTTTCAGCAGGAGCTATTGAATCGCCTCGGCTTCTAATGCTTAGCGGCGTTGGCCCTAAGCAACATCTCGAAGACATGCAGGTAATAGTCACTTAAAATATAAATAAAAAATGTCTGTATTCGACTTATATTTTCTGTCTCAAACATCACATAATTTATTTTAATGTATGTTTACATTTTTGACTTTTCGCCTTCCTGTTTCACATTACAACAGACTGTTAATTACAGGCTGCTGAGAATGCTTTGTCTTCAGCAGATAACTTGGCGAAGTGATCATTCTGCCTGCTTCCGCTTGATGCTATGCCTATTATATAGCCACTGTCAATGCACTTTGGGTTATTTTTGTCGCCCTTATTTGCTACACTGTGAAAAATTTACAAGATTGTGGTGGTCTCTAATGGATATCTGAACCAAGTAGTAGACTAAACTTTGTTTGATTGACTCAGTACAATGAAATGATTCATTTGGAGTTAAGCGCTAACGATATATTAGGACATTAGTTTTTAAATGAATAAGATATACGACTGTACCATACCAAAGTGGCGAAAAGTGATAAGTATTGTTGCATCTTTTTTTATTGTTTCGTCTCTGTTGATGTTTGCGACTAGATCGATGTCGTTTCAGATTTGCCTGTGGGGCAAAACCTTCAAAATCATGTAGCTGTTAGGGGCATTGATGGCGCGATAAATGCGACGACATTCCTCGAGATTCCGAGCGTCAACGATATTAAAGCTTTGATGGACTGGTACAAATTCGGCAAAGGCCCCTTTACCTCGCCTTATGGAACACACTTAGGGGTAGGTTTTTACAAAATGAATGAAAGCGATTCAACCCCAGATATCGAGATCATGCTTCAGGGATTGCGTGACGACGCTCCACCATGCACTTTCCAGGTTCGTATGTTCTACATCTTTAAATAGTATACTGCAATCACTACAGTTTTCAATCGGAATGACGTAAAACGGGCATCTCTTTATTAATTAGTGTTGCCAATTAGTCTAACCAATCCCAAGATGTTCACTTCAATGCTGTAAATGACTGAGTAGGGGCTCGCTGCACGGCATACACAAGACGCATGAACTACATTTAAAAATTTACCAAATTAGGTTTCTGCGATAAGACAATTCGGCGACCTGTAGCGTCAAGCTCCTTAGGTGCTCGAAAATCTACGAAATTGTTACTTAATATGGGGTTTAATATGGGGTAAATTTTTTAAATAATAAAAATATTTTAAAAATGCCTATTAGACTATATTGACACCTTGATGTGGAATTTTGTAATTTCTTCCAAAACGATGATGCTATGTTGTTTGCGCTAGTCTCGCCGCACACAATGAAATTTTCGACAACACTCTTTGCTCACGCTACAAGTAAAATCTAGCGATTTGACAGCGGCTTAACTTTTGTAAGCGCGTTTTTAGCACAAAGTATACGGCCATATTAAGGCTTTTCGATGATTAGAAAATATTTATTCTGGGTGCAAAAATTGGAGAGTAGTGGCCGCTGGTTTATCCATTATAGCAAAAATGACAAGAGCTAAATCATTACGCGATCATCTTCAGATCTCAAAGCTCAGCAAACGAGTGAGGACAACATCATGCGATTCCACACGCTTTGGATAGACAAAACGGTTATAAAACTTATTTATAAAACAAGAAGTTATTAAGGTGGACAAAAAAGTGTGATGAAATCGCGGATTACCTGAAGGTTATATGTCTTCGTGCGAGACGGAGAACCGGCTGTCATAATAGATATAAGGTTCTTGATCATTCGAGTCCCGTCCAGGTCCACAGCGTTCGACAGAGCATTAGCATCTTTGCTTTGAATCTATTCGTGGGTCATGTTTGGGCGACACGTTGACGTGTCTCGTACTAATATCCCGTCATTCATGGCCGACGAAGAAAAGCCTCAAACAATTAGGACAGGCTTCTTAAAAAGACTCGGCAAAACATTGGAGGAATGATTGAGGTGACTAATAACTACATCGAATAAAATAGCGTAACAGTTATGTTTTCAGCGAACGATATTGAAAATGGATATAGTTTTCATTTTACGTGAAATACGATTTGCCGGTTATTATTTTGTATTTAAGAGATGCACTCTCTGTAGTACGGTAAGGTGTATGGACGAATAAAAGACACAGCGTATTGATGTAGTATGTCGCGAGCGAACCAGTTAGTATCTTATATTAACAAAGTGTAACGTCCTTTAATTGATAGTTAGAACTGATTACAAAACATAATAATAATAGCGACTTTATTGAACTATGCACATAAGGATCAAAATATATACGACAGTTTATTTTCGGTCTATAAAACCTTAACTTACATTGATTAGTTCTCAGAATACTGTCGAGGGTGCGATCAGCCAGCGTAATACTATTTAGATTCAAAGGAGCAGTGCCGTACACTAGGATGACTTACCTAAGTTACACATATGCACCCTTGTGTGATCCAAGTTAATGTTGATGTAAATTAAAAAATCTATTATAAGTGCTACGCATTATAGTATAATTAAACGCTACCTTGAAACATCGACTGAACAGTTGCTGAACACGATAAATGTATTTGTCTGCAGGACAACAAAGGAGGTCCGGCAAACTTCAACTTACTCACAATTTTGATGCGGCCTAAGTCTCGTGGAACAGTTCGTCTTAGGAACAAGGATGCCCGAGTGCCTCCAATTATCGACTTAAACTACTTCGACAACGCTGACGATATTGAAATCCTCGCGAGAGGTACGCCATTCATGGCAGAACAACATATACTTACGTGCTGATAAATTCAAGTGGTCATTTAATAGTTATTATTTATATACTAATTGTTCGTTCGTTCGAAGGAAGGTGTCTCCTCTTAAGCATTAACACATGTTCCCTGTTACAATAATCAAATTGGCCCCACATGTACAGCATCCGTCCGCTTCTAACTATTAGCCTGCTAGGCCTTACCGGGGTTCGCTGATCCATCCTTATCTTCCACGTAACACTGAACAATGTCATTGGCGCCTTATTACAGTCTCTTTTCATAATAAAGTCTTCCTTCAGCTTTGTTGCGGTGCATCATTATGTTGCTGTCTTATATCATTACTCTATCTTAGTAATTCAGTCAGAACGTTTCAGGGATTTGGTCTTTTACTTAGATTATTCACTTACCGTAATTCAGATATTGCATCTACGGATTTGAGTCGTCTTGTCACCTTGCAGAATGTCCTATTCACATGAGATTATCTCATGCTTGCACATATATATCAATATGATCCTACAATTTCAAGGTGTAAATGAACATACGTTTCTAAAAGTAATCCATGAAAGCACTATGCCGCTTACGAGCACAAATAGGTAGGCAATGTAAAAGCTTTGATGTTTTTTGGAAACTCTTAAGCGTCTCTTAAAGCAGACACCAAATTGTGTTCTACGATAAATCATAGGACAGCATTTCTTAAAAAATCAAAAACAAACTTGCATGTATTGTTTAAAGCTTTGAAATGCGTAGTTTTTGCCTTGAATTTTCAAACTCATGAATGAAAACTTTTATGTCCAACATAGTGATTTTTTTTCTTTATCTCCGATTACACTAAAATCCAGAAGGAGTGTTTTGGTATTTATCAACCTGAGACGGCATTGCCCAGGTTTGTTTTTTCACAACAGGGTTTGCCCGTCAAGTCAAGTCTACATAAAAAGACCACAAATATTATTAGAGCCGTTTTTAAGTGGTCGGGAAATACTAATGTGCACAAAGCTCTATTCGTTGAGGAGTATGCAATATTTTATAATTTTTAGTACTGATTATGCAGGCGCCAAATTTTCGGCTGATCTCCTCAATACAGAGGCGTTCGCTCGCGTTGGAGTTTCTTACGCAGCTACTCCAATTGACGCCTGCAAAGACAAAGACGCGAGTTCACTCAACTATTGGAGATGCGTAGTTACCGTCAACACGGCTTCAATGGGACATCCAGTGGGTACCTGCAGAATGGGAGCTAAAAATCGCAGTGACACCGTGGTAGATCACAAACTCAGGTATTATACTATCAGTTACCAATAGAAGAAAAACGAGTCAGATGTAGAGCTATTATATTCTAATTGCACTAAAAGAACATTAGCTAACAGCCGTTAGTAGTGAATTATTGGGACCTGGTTTTAACTTCGCGTTCAGCGATCGTTTTCATTGCAGTAAACTAAATTGCTGAATATAATTGACCTAATAATGCTTGTGTATGTGTGCGTTTACGTAATGCAGGGTGAAGGGCGTTAAGGGTCTGCGGGTCGCTGACGCCTCAGTAATGCCAGAACTAAATACGGGACATACAAATGCACCAGCTATTGCCATAGGAGCTAAAGCTGGAGATCTTATCTTGAAACAGCACGGACTGGTCTCCTAGACTCGATTGGTAATAAAAGAATGTGTACTATATGGGAGATAATACAATCTATTCTTCCATTTACAGGACAAATGATCAGATGTATGATAGGTGGTTTAAGATTTGATAAGATATTACTGTAAAATAAATTAGTAATAAAAAAAATGTCAACTTTATTGTATGTATAAGGTTATAGTTAATATTTTTACATATGCACGGCCCGATAGTTACTTAAAAATCTTTAATATTTACCTTATTCATATCAAGTAATTTTATTAGAAAAAAGTTTGTTTTGTTTTACTGAATACCTACTTTCAAATGAATTAGCTAGAAACTAAAACCTCCAACTTTTTTCATATCCGGTCGTTTTTCTGGCTTCGAAACGCAATAACTAAAAAAAATTAACAATAAATAATCAGATTGGGTAATATTTAGCTGGTCTAAGGGCAAATTCGAAAGCGTTAATCAACATATAAATTGTACGTGATCGTTTAGAACCTACGTTTGAATGGAAACGTTCTTAATGGAAAAAGTAACTTATGTACTTAATCGCCGTATTATTTGGTGCTATAACTAAAATGATTGATTTCGGCAAAAACATCGCCTTATGCAACGTTTTAATTAATTGGACATCGTACCAAAAGGGCACGTTCATCAAGGAGTGTCTGTAAAGGATCTAACGCAAAAAGTCAGTATGGCACGACGTATCATTACCGAGCGTTAACACAGACTGAACTAGTTAAATTTGCTTATATGCGTTCAAACACACCTGCGATTTTGCTGCTGAAACATCTCAGCTAATCCTGCGCATTGTAAACATTTGACAGTTTTTACTATTTACTATTATTATACAGCACATTTGTTTTGTTTACAACAATTTTTTTCAACAATTTTACAATAAAGGACGTCTTATATTTTTTTTAAACTGAGCCGTACTTTTACAATATATCGAGCAACTTTCAATAATAATTGAACACACCTTGTACTAAATAAAGTACTCTTCAAATACAAATTTCCGCTTTTCAAGTTAAAGTGTCAAATTAAAGAGCACGCGTGTTACAGTTTGAGAACTTTCTTGAAATCCTACCAAAATGAATGTAAACCTTACATTGTATACTTGAAGGTACTGAGCGATTCAATTTGAGAAGTGTTTGATTTGGTTTGAAACATCTTAAATTTGGTTTTGAAATTGCCCGATTTAAAGTGAAGTTAGTGTTGCATGGTATAATCAAATCTGATTTTCATACAGACTCAACCTAGTAAGTTTCTTATTGGTCTTCTTTATCTTTAAAAAACTTATCGGTCTGGTGGAAAAAACATGTTCACGCCATTTTTACTAGCCATATAGATTACGACCTTTTCTTTACCGAGACGTGCGGGAATGTTATTTGTTTGACTATTAAACATAATAACTCTTTTAACAACATATAATAGGCATAAAATAAACATAATAACTCTTAAATAGCGCTTATAAGTAAAACATACAACTACTGGGTCATTTTTCCCAGATTTTTTTGGTTTTAGATCGCTTCCGTTTTTATACACAAAAACAGTCCATGGACAGTAATGCCTACAACGGCTCTTATAATTATTTGATCACCAATAATATGTGCAGTACTATCGTTCGTGAAGTTAATCGAAGCATTACTGGTAGAGGAATATGCTTCAGCAATGTAACCTGGGACGACTTGAAAAGCTGTATACGAGAGCTATTCGGCTGCTGGTGATGCTCGCAGGAAACCTTGGAGAGAGTCCAATACATTTTGGGTACAATGCCGTATGTTGGCGTGTCGTTGCATGTATGTTAGCAGGAAAGGAGATCAAGATATTCATACGCAAACATGTCGTCGTAGTCGAAGTTTCGACGCTTGACATCTATGCAAACAAATCTTTGTTTTTTTTTTTATAGAAATCTATTTCTTATACACCTAGCGTGGAGTCAAGGGTCTGCGTGTGGCAGATACTTCAGTAACGTCAGACCTGGTTACGGGCCACATAGTGGCGCCGACAATCGCTACCGATGCGAGACTGTCTATTAAGAGAGCAAAGCTAATCAAGATAGTATTAACAACTGCGTTTACCGTATTGAGTATTAACAAGTTATTTGAGGATTGGTAAGGTTGTGGTTTGACGGTTAAGTAAGAAGTCGTCTAAACCTTAACTCGTAACTGGAAACACAGTATACGTTGTAGAACTAAAACCTTTCGGCTTTAATGACATCGTCGTGTACTTAACACGAACACTTTTCGTTAAACAATAATCTTATTACGAACCGATAGCAACGAAATATATTTGTTTATACGATATTTCAAAGCGTACTTACCAACAGAAAGTAGAAAATAACTATTTTGTATTACTGATGACAGAATTCGTATGTGTTATTTTATCTTTGTATCTGTCTCGTACCTGAATAACAACGTGTCCAGAAAAAATGGTAAAAGTGAGTGCAATGTCTCACAGAGCTAAAAATTTCGCCATGTCCAATGTTCAACGTATATTCAATGTCTGTTTCAATGGTGTTTTTGAACCAGATACTTCTAAGCATGGTCACCAAATCAAGGCAGGTCTTTACGAAGTATTTCCGAATATGCTGTAGTACGGCTGATTCGCGAAAAGTAATATGAAAAGCACTTCTTGAAATTTGAATTTTTTAGAAAGCGGTCCACTCTCATTTTTATGGTATTCTATGTTAAGAGAACTCGTAAGAATGGCAAGCAACTTCGCAATAATGCTGCCCTCACACAACCATTATCCGAAAGAGTTCACTTTTAGGAGTTCTTGTTTAGTTTTTCGTTATAATTACAAAAATTCTTTTTACCACCATAATTAAAATAAATCACAGCTTTTAGAAAACCAATTTTACTTCTTATTAGCCAGTGTTGCAGATATGGTTTTTTATCGAAAAAGTCCGCGCCCTCAAAATCTGCAATCGGTTGGCTGAGAAAAAGGTGCTATCATTAAAATATACACGATCTTTATATATGATGCGCAGAAAGTAACGCACATTTCTTAAGAACTGCAATATAGCATAATGTTTATCTATAAACCTGAAGATAGCAGGTATGCTATTTGTCGATGCTGTTCGCTATTGCGGCACAGTATCACCTCACTGTAAGGTAAGCATCGTTGCTACTAATTACCACTCGTAGCGGCCCCTGCCAGAATGAAAACACGACGTACACACATTTTCTTCGGAACCATGGACACCATAACCTGAATATGGTGCAACGCCTACTATATAAGAGCAATGAAATTTGGTCGTTTTACTTTTAGCTCTAAGATACAAGCTGCAACGTTTCTTCGAATAAATAAAAAACGAATATTTATTGCTTGGTTGTTACTTTGCAAAATTTGTTAAGTTTTGCTATCATAGTTAAAAATAGCCAAGCTTTAAAGTTGAGTCATAGATGCTGTCAGCTCTTACATACACACTGCCCTCAACATTTAAATGTTAAAAAGATCTCAATAAGCAGCTAAGCAATTTTTTATACGTTCCCTCGGTAATCTCCATGAAAAAAATGTATACGACCAGTTTTTGTTTAGTTGCGTTCAAACACTAAAAAATTCGTTTTATTCATTTTGACGAACGACTACAGTGTGAGTCGTGCAAATCTTAAGTTTAATCTATCTAGCCCTCGACACCGTTTTGTTTCGGTATCATTTGTTCGCTATCGCAGAGCCATAACGAAGCGACTGTCGCTGGGCGGGTTTTAGCGTGCGCGCTTGGTTTCGACGTAGGACAAGTAGGTCCGCGTGGTGTTGATAGCAGTAAACATCGGTGCCTGAAGGTTTTGCTTGAGCGCAGTCATACATTAGAAAACTAGCTCAGGTATGTCGCAGCCAGCACAGGCTGAAGACGAGGAGTTCACTGGGTCCAATCTTAAAGAAAGCGAAGAATCGAAGACAGCCGAAGGTGGAACGTCTGAGGCTGGAGACAAAGGCAGCGAAGAAAGCGACGCCAAGAAGGAATCAAAAAAGCCCGATGACGCCAAAAGCGGAGAGTCGAAGACTCCGACTGTCGGGACGGATTCACGTTCCTCGGTAAGAGAACAAACCACGCTTTTGAAACCCTTAATGAATCCGGCCAGTCGATATCTTCGCGGATTTTCAGGCATTCGTTTCGGTCCATAGTAGAAGTAAGGTTCATTTGTGGTTTCGGAATTAACATGGCGACTAGTATCTCACTAATGCTATTCGTACTTAATGCTGGATAAGCAAGACCAAGATGGGTATAAGCCTCCATATAGTATTGAAGTACACGATAATATGAAGCTCATAAATAATGATTTGTCAGGCAGTTAGTTTCAACTGAGAAAGTTACAGCTTGTTTATAAGGAACAATGAAGTTTGCAAAAATTGTTTCGGAGCCCTTTGAGACTAAGTTTTCATATCTAAAAAAGCACGAAATATGTGGGCGAGGAACATTAACGACCTTGGAACTTTAGTTGATTAGAACTTAGAAAGGCGAAGTATTATCTTTTAGTGATGTTTATCGTGCCAGCTGGAGGCTGTAGGTCTTGGATCCATGCGACTAATTTGAAAGGGAAAAGATGGCCTCGAAAAGAGTTTACACAGGTTTAAATAAACGCAGTCAGATATACGAATAAATAGTTATTCCCGCAGTGCAGTTTGTTCAGTTAGCGGTAAGTATTTCAGACTTCCATGTTTAAGATGGCTGCCTCACTGCACGAAACGGAGATAGGTCTGCATTTAAACCAAGACCACCATGTCCTTAAACTTACTATCACGCGATGAGTTACTTTATACCATTATACTTAATACCATTATATGAAAGGTTGCGTCACTTAATCCCGCAATTTAGTAAAAGCGGACTACGGTAATTTCTCTAATTCGTATCGTCTGTAACCTCAGGTGAATCAGCGTATCTGTTACCCAATTAAAGAATTTTATTAATAAATCGGTTTAGCGAAGATTTTCAGGCATGGGAATTCCTTTGTGGTCAGACTTGTATAGCTTGTGTAACGGTGATCTCTCAAGAACATAGCGCTCGCTAATTATTTTTGGTAAAGGTGGTTTGTATCGTAATTTATCGCAGGGCTATAGAACCATCGGTACCTGCTATCCTGTAAAGTGGCACTACCACATCCTTAATCTCACACATGCTTATATAGGCTATTATAATTTACGTAAATAAACAAGTAAAACAAAACGAAATACGATATTAAAACAACGGAGATAATTTGTACTCTATTGTAAATCGTGGATTGGATTCGTTTCATTCTTCGAAGCCTCGTATCTAGGCAAGATGCTAGGTGTGAAGCAAGAAAGTACCGAGCTATGACAGGAGGGCTTCGGGAAGGTACTGAAACTCTGGATATACACCTTAATTATACATAAGAAGGCTGTTGTTATGGTGAAAAGGCGGACGTGTTTCTGTGGTCCAAGCGAAGGTTCTGCTTTCCAGTCGTTTGGCGCTTAGGGGGTCTGATGTCTTTGTTACTAAGCGGCCGCTACGTTTTAAGGGAACCTCCTCGAGGCTGTAGATATACTGTATTTAGCACCGTACCATAAGTGAAACAGTCTTCCTTCAAAGAACGTAGTGATAGACGAACTTGTATGTTCGAAAGATTTGTCAATATATTTAAATAAACACAATATCAATTTTTTTATGGTTTTAGATACTGTTGAGGGTTCCAATCAAAATGGCGTGGCCATTATAGTTTGCGCAATTTCAGGCTGCGCATCGGTGAGCGAAGTTCTTAATGCTTGCGCGTGCCAATGGCCGCGCCTTATTTGTTGTGCGAGGCTTGTTTAACAAATTTTATATTTGTTTTAGAAACCAGTGCCTTCCGGTTTAAAAGGTGCCGCAAAGGCGCCGGGTACAAGTGCGACGCCCTCAAAAGGTGGGGAAGCTAAGAAGAGTGATACCGTTAAGAAGGACGTTTCAGGAAAAGACATGAAATCTGCGATGAAGGGCCCGCCAGGCAAAGACAGCCAAAAGAAAACGGACGGGCCGTTCAAAAATGCAGGAAAAGGACCCAATACAAGCAAGAAGTCTAAGAAAGGCTGCTGTAACATCATCTAACAAATCAACACTAAGCGTGATAGCCTTTTGAGCGTGAAAGGCGATAGTTGATTAACTACAGCCAACGTCTGTGGAAGTCTGTTAGAGAAAAGAAAGAAAAAAAGGGAGAGAAATCTGTAAAGGACGTCGGCGTTATTGAAACGTCGGATCTAGCCAACGAGAGAATTAAATAAATACGAACTGACTAATGATATAATAAATTTATATAGTATCTGCTCGAGGTTACCGCTGTCACCATTGTCAGTTCGTTGTGTATACGGAGCTGATATGTATGATCAATTCTGCAGATTTTGGTTCATATACTGGGCTTGATGGAAATTATAGTAGTCCGGTACTATCTCAGATTCGGATCGATTCATCTGTCTTGATTAAGAGCCGCGTATGTAGAACCAATCGTTTAAATATGGTATGTAACAGGCATATCGTTCGTGTATGTGATATGTAACGTGCTCTCTTGAACGTGTTTCACTGCTTGAAAGCTTAGACGAAATTTTTTTTGAAATAGAGACGGGCGGCGGCTTCTCTTGTTTTCTTGGTCTCTTGTTTGCAAGCTGTTCTCAGACAATTTTATAAAAGAAGTTTGGGGTAAGTTTGAATTTCCATAAATCACTTTATTTACAATCGTATTTATTACACAATATTTTACAATGCACACTTACACAGTCACACAGACGCTTTAGATCCCACGGATCTGCAAGCATGCCAGGCAGGACACTGGGCAAATACCCGTAAAGGCTATTTTCCATTTGCAATCACATTGATGATTCGGCTCATTTTTCAACTAATTATGACAATTAAAAATTACCTGATTATCATTCCTCGTTACGACCAAGTAGTCTCTGCACTTATATTATTGGCCGTTTCGAAGTTTCAAGTAAAATGATTGAATCTTTACCAATTGAACGCATGTTTGCCACAGCATAATCCTAATTCATAAGGGCATCGCACTCTGACCTTGCTTTCTCCTATCACACATCACATAGCTGATTATATATACAAAAACATTAGTTTACATGTTATTATCGACAAGTTCACACATGAATCGGTCCCTCGGATCGCATTGAGGCATTTCGGGCATCTCACGACCATCCTGAGCGTTTTTTGCTTCACGTGCGCTCCAAATCATACGCGTCGTACTTTCGAGAAGCTGATCAACTGAAAGTTGGTTGTCCGTTGGAAGCGAGTCTGTAGTTGCTTTCAACATTTCTGCAACCTTCTCAAGCTGCTTCTGAAAACGCTCAGCCGTATCTAGCCTCTGCTTTTTCTGTACCTCCAACATAACCCTGATAAACACAGATATCGAAATTAACAAAAGAAGTTTTTAAATGGAATCAATACAGGTAGATACACTTTTGTTCAAATACATGAGATCTGCGGACACCCCAGTAGACCAATACATGCTACTCTCAGCTAGGACATTGCGCCAACACGGTGAGGTATTCTTAGTTGAATAAGGAATACCCACAACTTTTAAACCGCTAAAGAATGTACGCATCTAACTGCATCACAGAAGATTTGGAATTCTCCGTAAAACGTATGATGTTACAAACAGGAAGTTCTGGGGAAAAAGTGCGTTTACAGCATACATCAAACATACTATAGCGTCACATTTCAGTTCACTAGATCTTTAGATTTAATAAATCAAATAACATCTTTAAACAAATTCGCTAAACTAACTGGTATGTACGAACGCGTACACACGATAGAATTTACCTGAGTGTTTCTCTGGCTTGGTGAGGCCGAAATTCATTGATTAAGTGGTGCATGTGAACGAATAGCAGGTTGAGGTCGTCCTTTTTCTCCTCTCTTCGCGAAGTATCGGGGCATTTGATTAGAACGTCAATCATGTCGATAAAATTGACAAGAATTGAATGATTCAACTTTTTTAGTTCGCGCTTTGGATCGTAGCTCTGCGGGTGTAGACGTTTGATACCCTGGGTCTCTAACGGCCTGATAATTGCATCATCCGGATGGAATGGTGCGTCGAACATTCGGTATGCCTCCTAGATGGACACAGTAAAATACGACAAGCAAAGAGATAAAGAACGATCTCTTAAATAAGACTTCAACCAAGGCTTCTATCAGTGACAGAATTCATGAAGGAACTTACAAAATGACGCTTATACGTAAACGTACGTAGTTCACTGGTTCTCTATCGTGTGATATCATAGCTTGACATATTAAGGTTTGTTTACTAGGTAAATAAATAGTTCCATGCAAATTTGATCTGAGTTTGATTATGTCAACTCTGGTACTAACCGTGATGGGTTTCGGGGGCGACAGGGCTCGCCCTCGTGCAATGTTTTCATCCGTGTAGTGCTTTACGTACTGGAGTGGAGGAAGAGGCAGTGAACTCGAACGCTCACTCATCTGCAACATTAGAAAAGCAGCAACGAAAACAGCTTCATTTAAATTCTGCATTAAATACTGATTTTTTAATCAACACATGGCATGTACCAGCCAATTTGGGCCTGTGTATTAACGAAGTTTAAAAGAATAACAACAAGAATAACAATAGTATTGCATCTTCTGTAGCCGACAAGCATGCAGATGGGTGTAACCAAGAACTTTTGAACAATATTTTGCTCATAGTGAGCAGCACGGAACGTCGTCAAGTGAAATTTGTGTTTAGGTAAACTACCTGAACGATTCTTTAGTTATACTGCAGAATACAAGAAGGTCATGCAAACGCGATATTAAGCACCTGTGTAGAACTTTTTGATGCTACAGTTCGGAGGTTGTCTCAGATTTGAAAAATTATCATTTGATGTTGTATACATAATTAAAGCATAAAAATAGGTAGTACAGCTTAATTAAAACAAGTGAAGAGTACTACCCTTTTGAGCGTTTCTGGAAATAAAAACGACTTAGTCAGATTAAATTAATATTTAGAATTAACTAATATTACTTTTTATTCCATTAATTGGGTAAAATTTACTCACGTTGATACACGTTGTGTTATCGTTTCAACTTCTTACTTATAACCTATGCAAATTTGGATTTGCTATTAATTAATTGATATTTCTATTTTGGCATTAATTTGACATTTACCCTGCCGATGTCGTCTCGCGTTACGGTATATTTAACTCTCTTTTAACGATTTCCACCAAACCCAGATGAATAGCACAAAATGTCGAAATTCAAAACATTCCAAACTTCACCACACGAACCCGTTTTCACCGTTACGATTGATTTGATCCCCGGTTCGTTCGCTGAGGCGATAATGCTGGCACAGAAGTAGTCTTCATTTGCAACAAGAAACCATTCCGCCGAAGCTTGTTTTTATTCCATCTCCAGATGAAAGCGTATGTCTGTGTGTTTTTATTGGACTGTCCTGATTGTGTTGTTAGGCTAATACGACTGCCACCAGGAAGAGCAATCGATTCAGTGACGACGACATGGGCGCCAGAGCGATACATCCGATGGTCGTCGCATAGAAAATAGGTGCATGCGATTCTGCTCTTTTTTAGGAACTTAAACTGGCCGTGCAACCATTCAATTCACAATTACTTTGCGCTTATAGATTTTAATGTTGCAATTATTTTTACTGAATTCGTGTGCATACTTAGTAAAATGAACATTTTTTATCTCACTATTATAAGTGCATAGCTATGTTTCCATTAGGAACTGTGATCAAGCCGATATGAAACTGACTAAAAATAATATTATTTTGCAGAATGAGCGGAAGCACAGCAAAAGAGGCAATTTGTTATGCGTTCTTGTCTGCTGCATGTTATATCTACATGTTACATGCTATTGTACACATATACAGTTATTTTATAGAAAATATTTTCAAGCAAAGGGCAATTGGACAAAGCAAAAAAGAAATACCAAAGTGAATAAGATATTTAGGTGAAATACATAAAATATTTAAAGAAGTACATCATAGTGCTGCTTCGTACAGAAGCGGCCTATTTAAACTCATATCAATAAATAATCGAAAACAATTATTTACAACGGACGACAATAGATAAATATTAGGCTACTGCAAACAAATATGGCGGATTTTAAAATTGAAAAACTTCAAATAGTTCGGCTACAATGATTATTTTATTATGTGTTAGACGTACTCCTTTATTCCTTACACGCGTATCCAGCGCTTCGGCAGCTTCTGGACAACCATATACTTATTATTCGCATTCCCATATGTAATTTCACTGTCTATGGCTTTTCAATGTGAATCAATAGTGCGATATGTTTGCTAATTAGTTACCTTTTTAGTTACACGAATCTAGAGAACGAACGAATAAGCAGGTTGAAGCCAGCATTGAGTATTCCTTCACTCAATCCATGGAGTAATTGAGGCATAGAAAGCAAACTTCCCTTGCTATAACCTCATGTAACATTATGTAATTAAACGCTGTGCGAAAAACCTCCTCGACTGCGGCAATACATCCCAATCCTTTGCGTCTCATAATCTGGTCTTTTCCTCGATGGTCTACAACGCTTCAATATCCGTTTTTAAAAAGTTTTCACCAGTGACGCACTATGCTTTCGATTAAGGTTTCCTTCACTAATGTCCTAACCAACCTTCGATGAATTTCTGCTGCCTTCGAGAAGCAAATACTTAGCCAATAAACGTTTAGCTTCGAGACTGAAAAATATTTTTCTTCCTAAACTAATTTCTCTTGAAGTAAACTTAATCGATTTTTACTAATAGATTTCTAAGGAACTAGAGATTTTTCCAGTTAAGTTTTGTTTGCTAGCGGTGTATGGTTCAGGCACTAGTTAATTTCAGTGTCCGCCGGATTCGTTTGTAGCAGTCTAATAATATACAGAACAACAGCTTTCCAATCTACTAGGTAAAGAAAGGACTGTTTGGCCTGCACAGAACATCCCCTAATCCTAGCTTCTATGCGAATTATGTTTTCTTAGCTCCACCAGAGTGTACTCACTGCCCATTATGCGAAATAGAGCTTATAAGTGATTACTGACTTTGCGAATTGTTCAATTTTCAAATACCTGAATTTAGAATAAGTGGATTGTAATAATAATAATTAAAATCACAAAATGCAGTACAACAAATTGTTTTTAATACGTCTTACGAATAGTGATTCTTAATTAATACCATTAGCTGAAACAAAGTTTCCTCAAGGGTATAATTCGTGTTCAAGGTTTGATTAGCGTGATATTTCCAGCGATTCACCACAGACCGAATTCTTCTGTTGGCTCACAGGGATTTACGTTCTATTTTCTACGCGCCGAATATAGCCTACTATGGTTTTGTGTGGGACAAGAAGATTCAAGCGCTGAATTCTTATATTTAAACCTTAGATATTTGCAATGGTATTTACGAGGCCACAATTCCGTTTCTATCTGCTTGTGGTGAGAGTTAATCGTTCATGTTTCAATTGAGCATAACTCCATTTTGGGAGTAATATAATACCAAGCAATACCACATAACTCTCAAAAGATAACGAAGTTTAAAATGATATTAATTATCTCATAACCACTGCCGCTCTTAGTATATTTCAAATTCCTAGCCATCTACCAGCTACTCGTGAAACAGAGTTATATTAGCTAAGAGTACTACCTATGAGATGCAGGCACATAACAACAGCTCGAAGCGAAGACTGCTGGACCACGAATCTGCAGTTACTCGCGGACGAAGTATACTCGAGATATTTATTTGGCACGATAATCGTATTTTCTTTTTATTCCCACTTTTTCTATTCCAATTTGGACTTTAAGCAAAGCAATACTCATACGGGACTGTTTCAGTAAAATGACGGGGTTTACAGTGGTTCTTTTTTTTTTTTGAACTCCAACAGGGACGCGCCCTCTTGCCTTTTCGTGGCCACGCATCCTTTATGTTCGTCCTTTTAGCCTTATTTTTTTACTCCTTACTGCCGAAGTAATAAACTATAAGAAGGATCTCCTTAAAAATGTTTTAAACGAGTAGGTAAATTCGAATGTATGGCTTCTGCAAAAGTAGTTTCTGATGGCGACGTCGTTATCATCTCACACATCATTCTCACACGCAAGTGTTTTATAGTTATGTTGTGAATTCTATTAGCCATCGTAGCAGGCCGTCAGAGCTTCTCTATCTTTTAAGTTTACTATCCATCACTACCGTCGGGCATTTCAACAGACGGCTGGCTCCCAGTATGAAACGAACCGTGTGTCTATGTCCGGATTCGAACCTATACCACCACGCGTCCCTAACGTGAACGAGCAAATTTGTAGCTTGATAAGTTATCACTAAAACGGACCGTCAGGGACTATAGCCACATAAGCTGTCCATACCTGGGTATTGTATTAGCTTTACGAAGAGATGCTGAAAGTAGTGTTAAAAAAGGAACCTATCTTTTTATAATTTTTTGAGTAATTTAGTAATAACCAATAGGGTGATTCTGTGAGAAGTTCTTTGACTTCTGTGTGCATAATCCCAGTAATCGATGAATTTTTAGGATAGAAAAGAAGAAATGTTACTTGCAAAAAACGACGATGCTATGAAATGACCGTGAACGGCTCGCCAATGCGGAAGTCAGCCACGGCTCTCTTTGTATTTGGGACTGTCTTGTTTTGTAACGAAGTAGACTGCTTGTCAATCCAATATAGTACAGTAAAAAGAATGAACTTTTGCTGAGGAGCTTACTAGATACCTATCATTAAAATCAGTAAAGATCTTCATAGGCAAAGAAAGCCGTAGCCTTCATTAGCTCTAGGTCTTGTCTGCGTTCATTGATTATCCTGACTGATATTATCATTATTATTGGTAGTGCCATGGTGAATGTATGTAAATGCATGAACGCGATATTCGTCGCTCCATGCGGTATCCATTAATGCCCTTCCTTGGTCAACAGCCAGCGCGTTATTCCCTCTCCGATCGATGTGTCAAGTTACTAGCCTTACAGGCCTTTACCGTTCTTCCCTTGCTGGCAAGCAATCTGCAACCGAGGACATGCGCTGTCTCGGACTGAGGTCGGCTAGCTGACGCTATCAGTAGTAGTCGCGTGCGCGCGGTCCTCGAAAACGCAGTTACAAACTAGTAGAACAGGATAATCAGCAGAGACCATATGTATACACGTTAATTTAATCTTGACAACGTGTAGTCCGAATGTGTGGCTAGCCCTATCGAAGATTCAGAAGCTTTAGACTCTCTAACAATACACAGGCGTCGGATTATTTTCGGCATTTTGAATATCACCATAGGACACCAGGAAAAGAATCTCAGTAAGTGCTGTTGGCCTAAAGATTAAGTGAACGAATTGCTTTATATATGTATATACACCCATACCGATATGTACGTTTTATATATATATATAAAAAGAACGCGACCAATTTAGCGATTTAAATCAGCAGTAGATGTATTTATTGGCCAGGTTTTCCTTAGTCAATAAAGCAGTATGTGCTTTTAAAGGTAAGATTAAATTTGTTTTCTGCAGGATTACATTTTTTGTGGGGTGAAGTTCATATCGGCAGTTGAATATCATTGTACTTTCCACTAGGCCTACTTCGTACTAGTAACTGGAATTTCAGCTGCATATTTTTAATATTTATCAGCTGGCGAGACACTGAGCTCGACCATAGTACCCTTAAGCAACACGGTACGTGATCTAATGTCAGTGAAAAATTTATTAGAATCACATCTTCATATTGGGACTGACCGAAAGCCAGACAATTGCAGTGATTCAATTCTCACCGTGGTCTCAACTGTGTAATGGTTTTATAGTTGAATTATTGATGATTATTTGAGAGGTACAAACAACAACTTACTTTTTTTCGAACGTCAAAATGAAAGCAAATTAAACCATTGGCTACAATCATATTTCATCGAGCTGTCGAAAATATCTTCGCCCTTATTAGAGCGTTTTGATCGCAGTAGAATGTTTTTGGTTTCGTCTGAGTTTGGCTGATCATTACATGAGAAATGTCCTACTCAGGCATTTAGCGGACCCAACGGTGTCACAGCATTCCTATTTCTATTGCGGAATATAGTAAGGGACGCGTCAGGGCAAAGGTTTGAAGTCTCGACACAAACCGTTTACGAAACTTGAGATAAGTTATCGAATCTGACGCTTGCATGAAATGTGAAGAAACAAAACATACATTTTTCTTGTTTACGTACGTAGCCAAATCCAAGTTGCAAACGGGTGCCCTGACTAAAAACAGTGATCTACAGGTATCTCATCAGGAAAAGGGTGAGTTGATTTAGCGTGTATTCTATATTTGGCCTTAAATTAATCTCGCGAAAGTTTCATCTCATACTGTTAACGGACATAGTTTCGGATGCTTTTCGGCCAGTGTTTTTCTAACACTGGCCGAAAAGCATTCGCAGCATAAAATACAACAGGGACGACGACTATATTTTATGCAATTTCAGTCCTAAACTTGTGTTTCGAGGACTCTTGTTGCATTATGCTTAATCAAAAGACAGTTCACAGTAGATGACAAGCGTAGAAAGCCATGACTGAAGTTCGTATTCTAAGGTAACGTCAAGACCATTTCATATATGATCTTTACGCACACAGATACATTATCAAGTAGACAGGCGTTTGACGCATACTAGGTTTGTAAAATGGTGAGTAAATTTAAACTAACGTATCATGTTTGGTGGTTTATGGCGGAAATCAATTTTCACACGCGCCAATCCAAAGCTGCGTTGCGAGTTGTTTCCAGTATGTCTGTTATAGGTCAACGGTCAATAATAATTCATTTCATAAGTCATATTTATACAATAGATCGGGATCTATTTTTGTGTTATACCTAATCACAAGTTACTTTGTGTTCACTCAACGTTAAGTTCAGGCACAGGATTTAACGAATAACGAAGTAGCTTGCAGTTATTCTTCGGAAAAGCCTAATTATATTTTAAAGGATTCACAACATGCTTCTACTGCCATTGTAGTTTTAGCCTCAGACTTATACTCTAACGAATGCTCTAACTGAAATTGCTAATCATATGCTACGATACATAACTGTAGTTGAGACAATGATATTTCTGCAGGTTATCTACGGATATATACTATTTACATAGTATTATTAAATATGTGTAATAAAATAATGAGAAAGTAAATGTTCAATTAATTGGAAAGGTCACTACATTGTCTATCTAATTGCGTGGTGACAAAAGCAACAATAAAGGGTCGGACTGTTTAGCTGTTAAGTTACTCCGGAATTTCCTGGTCTATTGGGCAAAGCGTTGCGGCATACATGTCAACTTGGGCTGCATAGGTCAAGCAAACTGGGTGTCACAGTAACTGATGCTATGCCTTCATTGCAAGTAATTTCTAGAGTCGTGTGTTTTTGTTTCGATCGAATATACGTTGCCGGCAGCAACGTGTATCAATTTTCGGCTGCAATGAACAACCGCCTTTCGAAAAACTAGCCTGGGTTTTGTTTCTTTAGGAGTTAGTCCGTAGCGTGTAGTGCGCGTTCTTCACATGCGCACCCGACATCCGACGTCTATTATTGTACACACATATATATATATATATATAGATCTATAAACGGATCAGTTAATGTGCGCGCATTTAGGTTAGCTATCGGGGGCCATCCACGGTTTGTTCATTCTAGCTCACTTGGTTTTGGCGAACGTATTGGCCGATAGCTGGTTTGCTGTGGGCGAGATTTTCTATTCTATCTGTTGATCTGTTTGTACAACACTTCATTTTTGTTGGGGTGCAAAGTGCAGTCGCAAGTCATCCGCTTCGCGTGTTCGTCAACCGCAAACGGAATTCTTAATGATTTGATGCGTCTACGACGTGGATGGACAATGACTGGGGTCCCTGTGCAAGAGGATGTCTATTATACGTGCGAGAATTCGCTAGATTTCAAATCTAAAAAGATCGACTACATTTCGATTCATACTTTTTGTCGGCTTCTAATGGCTCATCTTATACATAACCTTGCATCTTAATTTTGTTGCACATAGTTCGTAAGCCATAGTAAATGCGTCGTCAAAAGTTAGATATCGTCGAATTTTAGATACGACGATGTGTAACCTTGGAAATATAATAACAATTTATAATTACTACAAATTCTAAATGTTCGCGCTATTTTTATAGAAACAACATTAAATATAAAAACGCGAACTAAGATAATTGCAATAAAAAATATGCTTCCTTTTTGGCAGTGGGTCACCTTTGCGACAGCCTTGATTCATCACTAATGATATAAGTGTGGCCACATGGTTCAAAATCGAGTCTGATGTGTCTTACGCTAGGTACTTCTATTCAGGATTCGCTGTTTTCTTGCTAGTTTAAACGCACATAGGCAATCAACGTAAGGCACAGATTTTTTAAACCTGTCTACCTGTTTGCCTCTATCGATAGATAATCCACGGGCAATTAGTTGCGACTGTAACCAAAAAGCTATTAGTAGTTAACAGAAAAAAATATAATCTTTTACAGTAGATAATCTACTAGGGCCATGTCAGTGGCTTATATAATGAGGTTAGAATTTAACTTTTAAGTGGTATACTCAAAGTAACCTGTTCGGCCATATATATATATATATATATATATATATATATATATATATATATATAAAGGCTATTGAAGAATATGATCAATAAAATATAAAAAAAAGATCAATGAAGTAGCTTAGTTAGTAGTAGAGTTACTGCTGCGTCCGCATGTGTTCATATGGATACACCCTGACACAGTGTGCTAAGCTCTGTTACTTTTGGATAAAGTCTGGCCAAAAAAGGATTCTGTAAATGACATTTTATCCAGATCTTCGTTGGTGACAGATAAAAAAGCTATGACGAGCGTCGCAACGTATCTTTGCGGACCTGTCGTGCTATTTGAAAGACGTAGACCGACGCTGTTGTAACAGACGATCTCCAAGACTCAATTTCAAAATGGATTCAAGCCCGGCGTAATGGCGAGACTGTTGAACAAAGAAGTTGTTTACTCTTCAGCAGTGAAGATCGCCTGGTCATATAGGCATGGCTGTGAGCGTATATCCCCTTTATTTACTTGACACAGATATTATTATAACTGTTCTTACTTGTGTGCGGGTTATAAAAGGAGATTCTTTGAAATATTGGATAGTCGTTTTGCACATAAGCAAATAACTATCAGAGATACGTACAATTTGCTGGTCGTTGTGTAACTAGAGCAAGTAATAGGCTAATCGAAAGGCCAGAAATATGTCTCTGATTCGCCAGAAGTTTTACCAGTTTTTTGCTCCACCGAATATAGGGAATTCGTAGCTGATTTTGTAGAAGAGTACATGACATATAACGTTTATTGTTAACATGTGCGAATGGTGTTTTCTTCTTGATAAAGTACGGCTTCCCCTGCAGGTTGATTAAACGGTTAGTTACTTCGATTCGTATCACTGTTGTGGTGGAAAAAATTCAGTTGATTAAGATTTTGTTTTATCTGTTTGCTGCTTGAAGACCCCCCAACCTTAAACACCGACAAATACAACACACAGGCCACGACTATAGTAAAAGTATTTAGAATAACGGATGATTGCTCAATGGCTGGTGCGCCAGTCCGACCCAGTCGTACTCTCATCTACCTTTGTATACACATTCGTATGCTTCAGACTGTGCTCGATATTACGGTGTCATTTATGTGGGTTAAGCTGTTACAACATCTACATTTTGGCCAGCCATAAAAAAAAACTGTACTCCGATATCTGTTTTTCTAATAGTCAGTGCACAACCGAATTATCATAATGATCGGAGTATTTGAGTCAGCCGAATATAGCACTTATAGCATACTGGTCTCGTCTCAGCGAGGTTTCTCTCAGACCCAGTGCGGTCTCGTTTCAGATCTCTGTCTTTCAAATATCTTGTTCCAGTTCTGGGAAAGAAACTATCCGCCACAGTTGTATAAAGCACTCTCTAATAATTGACGCCAGGTTAGGCATGAACTAGGTTCGTCTTTATTTTTGTTTTCTAATGCCACGTTTCGCTGCTATCACTGTGTGAGCCGGTTGCGGATTTTCGGCCTTTTGTTCTTAGCATAGACGACTTGCCTTCATTAGCAGTTTAATATGGAGTGGATCTTGCTAGATTTAGCTGTGGTCGTTCCAACAGACTTATAATGACTCGAACAATCAACTACTACTTTATTTTACTTTCTTATTATGTATTAGTTATTCGGCGGTACAAATTTTGCCAACGGTCAAATTTTACCTAACCTAGTATATTTACATACCTGTCAGTTATTGGTTACAATGGCAACGCACGCAAAGGGCTGTGCATTAAGCACCTAGACCCTGGCTCCCCTATGAAATACGTAAAACTGCAGTCTGTTCGTTGGCTTCTGAAGGTGTCAAACCGGGCGGAATGCTTGCCTTCTAATTTATTGGTTACTATAATGAACAATTTAGCATCTATATCATAGCTCTACAGTAATTCACATGAAAAAAAAAGCTTTGCTCATTTCTAAGTTCGACGAACATCCATTTTAAATTTCTGGGCATCAATACTAAACTTAGGAGCACGTAGTGGTATAGGTTTCAATCCGGGCCTTAAGTATCGAACGTAATATTCAAAACATTTTATTAGTAACGAATAGAAAGAAACATAATTGCGCGCACTCCTTGTATAGAACGCCGCTTTTTCCAATGATGCTGTCGAATTTTTACGAAGTTCGAATTAATCGATGTCTTTTTCTCTCGTTTATTTCGTTTTCATAGCGCCAAGCAAATAAACGTTTCGAGTTGGTCGTTCTGTACTGCCGGTATGTATTGCTTCAGAGGGTTCACAAAGCGGACTTCTTCTGCTCAATTCGGACCATCACGTGTTTTTAAGTTTACAGGGGAAGCATGTTGTCAATGTAGCACCGCCGGAACGCTCAATCTAGACCACCTCAAACGTTACTAGTTTCGGTAATCAAACACACTGGCAATGCACAACTGGACAAAGTTTGATACACTGAACTGAACATTTGTAGAGATCTACCATTTAACTGAAGTTTCTCTGAGTAGAATAACGTACCAACAGTGAATCAGGTTAGTTTGCAGCTATTGGCGTGCACTGATGGTTAAATATGAGAGGCTTTGAATGTTGCCCAAGTGTATAAACATGCCTGTATAATTCACAATTAGAGACTGGTTTTGGGAGCTGCATGGGAGCAGTCATCCCAAGCGACCGCTTCTGGTTTTGTTGTTGTCGGCGTGGGAGGACTTGTGTCAACAGGCCAATCGTGACATGTGTAACGATGTTATTACCTCAAAAGTATAGTTTTTAAATAACACGGAAGGAGACCTATGTTTAAAAAAGCAGCCTACCAATCAAATCTTCGAACAGTTTACCCTAAGGTGTACTCGAACCTCTAAACCCCCGATTTAGGAGACCAATGGCTTACCCATCGGGCCATGAGGGTCGTGGGAACCATTGTCAGTATGTAGAACTTGCGGGGCAGTTCTATAGCCTTTGTGTGAGATTTCGCCTGTGCTGCTTGAGCTATTTATTGCATTTGGCCAGTCGCATGCCTGCAGGTCGTCTTACCTTGTTATTCAGCAGAACCGGCAGTGAGAACGTTTTAAATCTATGGATTTATGCAGACAGATCGCACAAAACGAAGCGCCAGGTCATTGCGTAATATGCATGTTTCACATACCTATCCCATCAATCTAATTACCCTTACCGGATTGTAAATCGTATGGGTAACTGTAGTAACGTAGTGGAAAGTAGAACTTCTACGTTACCACAGTCCTACGACTATATGCATATTTCAAGTATATAAATAATTAAAATAAATTAAATCAATTAAGAAAGATCAATAAACATCAAGACTGTATGCTTGTAAACAATGTCGTTTCGCAACCAATAGTGCTTTTCCTAGGAGTAAACATGGGTTTCAAGAAGAAATGGTTTACGGATACTGGAAGCTGGCTATATATATGTCATCGTTAAAAATAATCGGTATCATAGGAACAGAGAACTTAGACCAATGTATTCGTTAAAAATTTTTCTATTAGAAGGTCTAAATGAGCTCACATCAATTCATCGAGTGTTGGGAAAATATTTGTTGAACACGATCATGTCGTAGGCTTGCAAAAACAGGCTAAATGGGCCACTCATAGTTACATGAAAAGAAGTTATTCGCCAAAAATACAAGGAAAGTGCTTTTTTTTTCTGTCTGGGAAAGAACTGTCATTACGACTAAATAAAAACGATTTTTATAATAATTCGCTGTCAAATTGGGAAGTTTGACAAATGACACGAAGTCGGTTTTCGAATAACCGAGGGACACCCACAAATTGCGTTTCATACAAAAAGAACAGGAGCAGTGATAACGTGCGCGCCAAATCAACGCGACGGACTGAAGCCTATTTAATTATCGCATAATTTTTTTTTGCATAATTTTGGTATAATTATCTATTTTAGATTCTGATCTATGATCACGATTATTCGAAATGTAGTATCGACTACGGTGTGCTAGTAAGGTTGACCAAATATCCTTAATTACATGCGTCCTTAGTGTAAAAATCTGATATAATTCGGTATATACATTCATTTGTGCGATCCCATTGAATTGTATTCGGTAATTATGGGCCAAGACCAAAGCTCTTGTACTAAAATATCGCCTATATATCATCGTAGTTGAGTTTTACCATAGACCGTCTACATTGTCCAGATGATCTTACCCCTTCATCATAGATATCGTGGGCAACTCTTCTATGCTATACGAGATCATCCATATTATGGTCCGCTCTGCAATGGAACTACCGATTTGATCTCTTTAGCTAGGCTAGTACATATTTGTTTGGAATCTGTTTTATTACAATTTTTTTTTTGTTTTTATACAATTCCTATACCGTCCGATCCAACAGATTTAAGATGAAACAAGCACTGCTGCAGAACTCAACTTACATAAGTTAAGTCACAGATCGAGTTAGATTTATAACCTAAGCCCGCGACATATTTTGGGTATCTGGTGTTCCTGACCTATAGAAATTTATACTTAAAGTAAGTCAATATGATCGACTGGTTCCGTAAAAATATCTACTAGCCCCTAAACAATCGGCTGATCTGTGTGCTTCATAAATGATCATATACTAAAAACACTAGAAAATTCTTTATTTGAGTGGTTTCAACTCATTTCTCTCATGTTTGCATATGCTTCAATACGAATAATTTTCAGCCAGCGAACGATGGGGCCTCTAGAGCTTGTACGCTACATTATATATCGTATGGCGTTCTACATTTGGCGGCCCGTATTAAAAAAAGGCCGTTTCAGCGCATTGTACGACATCCTTTCATTTGCCCCTGACAAAAATGGCGTTATAATCCCGCAGAAGGAATTTGAAGAAGAACTTCCCCGCCAAACCGAAAAGGAACCACGCGAAAACTACCAAAGTGATTCAGTTCAGATCTTTGGGCAGAATGCAAAAGGTCAAATACTGCTGGCATCAATACAGCGCCAACCTGACGGTAGGTAGTTAGATCACTCTGCAGCCATATGTTATTCTAAATATAATTTAATCTAGGTACTTTTTATCAAATTAAACTTTCTGCGCTTGCTACCATTCCCGAAGACAAAAACTGCTGATTTCGTTTTTTTAGAGTTTTTAAGGTTTAGAGTTTAAGAGTCAATTAAGGCAACACGATCTTTTTGTATTGAACCTAACAATTTGATATTAGGTCTTTTTCTTACTACCCTGTGCGACTTTATTGTTAAAAAGAATTTTTCCGATATACACACTTCTCTTGTGTTTTTCTTCTCGGCTAATAATAGAACCTATCTAACTGTAGGCCTTGCAATTGCTAGCCTTTACGTGCGACTCGTTTGTGGACGTTCGTACTGTTTACCTCAACCAATTCAAGTGGACACATCGAATAATGAACACTTTATAGCTGGGAGCTTACGAATTACCTGCGTTCATCCGATGCGAAGGTGGAGGGTCGCGTTCAACGGAAACCTCAAGGAAGTTAACGCTGAGAATATCGACCTGGTTCACGTCAGACTCGTAGCCATGTGAGCTTGCAATAAGTGCCTTTATTCATATTAGAATTATCTCTCGGATATTTCTCAAATGATAATTTTTTTTTGAGAAGTTTTTAAGAAGTTATAATCTACTTTTTCGTTCGTTAGAGAAAAAAAGTGATTTTTTATTATTCTGTACATTTATAAAATGGCTTAACATTACGTTTTAACTAATGAAATTTTCAAAGGCTTTCATCGAATCCAACCTATACAAAAATAGAACTTCTTCCATTTACACAACTAAAACCTACATTCATGAAAAAGTGTATCAATCTAGTGTTGATTTCAACATTAAACTTTATTTTGGAAGGTGATCGACCTTCAAATGGGCAATGGCTCTTCACTAGAAAGAACTATGAAGCGTATAACATCAACCGTAATTAGGTAATAATTTTAACAATAACAGTCTTTCTTTGAATGTCCTAGAGGGAACCTTGCACACGGATGCGCAGATTTTCAGTCATACTATAACGAAAAATTCTTGGCGCGCCAATTGGCTCAAAAAGCAGGATTTCGAGCATTAAACCGGGACGTCCTGCGAAAAAGCTTTAGATCATTGAATGCGTATTACCAGCGTTTTAGCTTTGCAAGTAAGGTGTTCGTCGAACATGGTGAGCCAGAAGAAATGTATATATTTGGCTACAAGTCGCGCTTTTCTGACACAAATACAGTCATCAAAAAGTCTGTCATCGCATTTACGGAGGTCAGTGAAATTGGATAAGTCGTACGTAAAACGTGACCGAAATATGTGGGTATAGCGTATTTCGCCCCAGTTAGTGCTATCCCTACTGCTAAAGCCTCTTACAGATATCGACTAATGTAAGTGTCACTGAAGGATATAGTATCATCTTCTGTCCAACTTTTCCATACCTGTTAAAAGGTGGTTGTATTGCAGAACGGCATTTCATCGGTTTTGGGAATATGTGACCTTCCCGACATTATGGACAACCTTATCTTTGGATACATCAATCTTCCATGCCGGCAACAAAGGCCATTGGAGTTCTGTTCCCCTGTCGGGGAGTTTTTCGAACCAGGGAAATTATCAGTAGAGATAGGCGCAGGTAAGATGTCTAAATTGACTTTCTGAAACAAGTTCTTCAACTTCGACGTAGATTGTTAGACGCAGATTGCATTATAAAGTCGGCCAATAAAGGTTGATTTTTACTATGACAAAAAGTGGCTGCAAAATTAGAGTCATTAAGCTAACGTTTGTCCTGTTTCATTTTCTAGATTGTTTTAAATCCTTTCGTCTTGCTGTACTGGAAGTAACGGATGTAATAGATGAAGTACAGCGCTTTCAGGGCAGCTACTGGAAACGCAGCTCAAAGTTTTGTAAAATTTCTCTTGACGGAAATGTCGGACACGCACTGACCTCCGATTTTACAAGGTACTTTATATATATCAATATTTTACCTATTTAACACTATATATATAATGTGTATATTCGATTACTCATTCGAAGTATAATTAGTGGGTTGTAAACATCGTGGTCTAGTAAATATTATCTTAAACTTCTACTTACATTTCTAGGGAAAAGATCCAGCTTTCTTTACCGGTAGTGCCAAGGTATTTACCTTTATCCCAAGCTTCACCATCGTTACGTCCACTGGTGCTCCCATTTCAAGAGCTGGCTTGCGTCCATAGCCCATTAACTGGAGGCAAGGGTAGTTCATTAGCCGTTTTGACGCAGATTTCCCTGGATCACACAGGACTGGTAAGAATGGATTCAGAATTCGTTAACATTCAATTAGTGGCTACATATATGTCTTTCTTATTTCGCTAACAACTTTGGGCGCATTTTTTATAGTTTTGTATTGATTCTTTATTAGCTATCGCTTTGGAAGTTTATCGAGCCTAAATTGTCTGAATTTGCAGTTTCACGTGCCTCAGGGAGTCTGCGTGACAACGGTCGCATACGAAGAATTCGTGTCGACCCAGGTCGTAGCCAATGCACTGAAAGATCTGGAAGAAATCGTGGCTTCTAACCCCACACTCAAGGATTTGCGCGAAGCATGCAATAGGTAAACTTTGGAGCCACTAAACGCACTTATTGTTGAATTGTAACTTCAATTAGAAGTTAGAGTTGTTTAGTTTGCTAATTGATATTATACATATCCTCCAGAACTTTGCTTAACAAAGTTCTTAAATCGACTGTTTCGTCTCTTGTGAGATGCTAAAGCAAAGATTTTAACCACCACGAATGAAGCCAATAATTAGAAGACCAATCAGATTTTCAATTGACAGGTACGTGGGTCGGAATACGTGTGGTCCTTTTATAATTTGGTTCCGACAGGATTGGCTCTATTGTAGCTACGGCAGATTTGCTACCGTCAATTTCATCAGTGTTATTGGAGAACATTAAGCCATCCCTTCGCTATGCTGTACGCTCATCTGCATGTGGGGAGGATTCTGAAGAAACATCAGCTGCAGGTCAGATGGAAACTATCTTAGGTGTCGAAGGCCCTCAACAGGTACTCCAAGCTGTCACGCGTTGCTGGGCCAGTCAGTTCTCATTTACAGCCGTACAATACCGTAGGTTTGTATATGTATTTAACAAAAAAGCTTTTCTCGTCACAGTAAATCGCATGTAAAGCCGACCAGTGCAAATAGATTTATAAAAAAAAGGATGAAAGAACTGTGCTGAAAGAGAAATTGGACAGGAATTACATTTGTATTCGTTGACTGTACTATAGGACTTCGTCGTTCTTTCAAAACGGCCGAAGTCCCTCCAATTCGATGACCCGGCTTCACATGACACTCCTATTTTCTGGGTACAGCACGCAGAAATTACGAAAATTACTCAGGAGTCACGTTAAGTAGACCTATAAAAATTAGATTCCTAGCTTCATCCTCAACGCGACTCAGTTCATCTTTAATACTCTGAATCCTAATTAGTTCCCCGTTTCGGTTGGCTTAGAACAGAATCATTATACCTCTTTCTATCTATGTCTTTATTGTAATTGGTTCCCAGCATGTCAGAAGCGATATTGAAGACAAACAATTCTATTCAAGAAATCCTGCACATGGTACTGATATTAGTCCTACAAATTAAGCCAATATTACGGAGTTTACTACCTGTTATCAACCTTTAAATTAAAACAGTTACTCTATTGGCCGTATTAATCCATATGCGAATGTACAGACATGATACTATGTCTTTATTTTTATTTTATATATATATATATATATATATATATATTTACTTTATTATTATGATACAAATATTTTCGGATGTAGGCGATACGGTCAGCCAGTAAATGTTCCAATGTGCGTCGTTGTCCAGGAAATGATATCGTCTGAGATATCTGGCGTTATGTTCACCGTAGATCCAGTGTCTGGAAATCCCCGACATATAACCATTACCGCTAACTACGGAATTGGAGAGGTACCTATAGAGTTCCGCCATGTACATAGCTAGCACCAATTTAAAAGTCCCCATAAAAAAAAAGTGTAGATTTCTGTTCCACTATTGACCAGTATAGCAGATGCATAGTTTAAAAAATGCTTGTGACTATCATTTGCGGTTAAAGAGATCGGCTTGCAACTAGTGGCTTAACAAGTGTCATGCTAATGACGCGACTAATTTTATTTAACATTTGAAGAGCGTCGTATCGGCAGCAGCAGACCCCGATACGTTTGTGGTGGCTAAGACTCATGACAGTCAAAAGGTAGAATTTGTTTGCGAAAAATTGGGTGAGAAGAGGTTGTCAACAGTTCTGTCTGGTAAGTATGGCGAGATAAATTTTAAACTTTTTCCTGTATAATTTTACATATTATACAGCGGATTTCTCAAGCAGAAAATTAGTCATTCGAGCCATTGCGTTTTGCTAGGTATCAAGAAACTTGGAAACCCGATAAGATTTCAGGTTTTTCATTTCATATTTGAGCTATTTTTGTTTTCCGTTGTCTGTTCTTGTATCTTTAATAAACAATAACATCAGGCTGTTATTCTCGAATTCATAGGAAAATATACATCTACACAAATGAGTAATCAACTAATTCAACGAATTTTTTTTTATTGTGGACAGTAGACACAGGAGGAACACGGAATATAACTGGGGAGACACGTTCATCTGAGGCTTGTCTTTCACGTGAACAAGTTCTTCGGCTTGGGAAAGTTGCGCTTGTGCTGGAACAAGCTTACGCTGCGCCAAGAGACACCGAATGGGCCTTTTTCAAGGTAACAACTTCACAAAGAGTTTACCGGACCTTCCAAACCATACGATAGATTGACTAAGTTCCTATTTATATTGGAACTCGCTTCGCGTTAATAATAAACAGCTTGGCAAACCGTTTATATATCCGCGGAACGTTAGACACAAATCCAATATATTACATAGCTGTTTGTTCTTTTTAGGATATACTGTACATGTTGCAAGCTCGTCCGATCACCTCACTGGACCAGATCGATACGGAGTTCGAGTATTTGCATGAGTCCGACCAAGGATTTGATTCCGAGATCGATACGCTTTCCAAAGCTAACGTCGGGTGAGCCATTCGTATCACTATTGCTATCACTAATCATAAATTTATCTAACAGCTTACGCCTAAAATGCCGTTGATCTGTGAATCGCCTGCAAAATACATATTTTTTCCTTTACCGATGTCAGGTCGAACAGTTCGGAATCAGTATCATCATTAATTTTTTCAGCATGAAACTTTTAAGGAAATTGGTTTTAACACTACGTAATCTGACGCATTGTTTTCCTCGCCTATCCAAGGTAGTAAGGATCTGTGAGCTTTGCGACTGATCGACAAGTAACTATATAAATTAGTTTTAAGTTACCACCGTATAGATCGTAGCCTTGCTTTAAGGGCAACTGCTACGTCTTTCATCGGTGCCCATCATCCTACAAACAGATTTATCTCTTCTAAGACACTGATTCTTAGAGGTTCTATTTTCCAAGAAAAGCATTGAAACAGTGACATGTTCTCGAATCTTTTGTTTGGGTCTTTCGTTCAACTCTTTACTATGCTGAGTGATAAGTGTCCTGGGTTTATATGCGGCTTTTCTCTTGCTGTTACCCATATGTATAACGCCGAGCTTCATTCAAAGCATGTTGAAATTAAGATTTTTTTTCAATTCCTCTCGCGACGTTCTCTTTTGAAAAACATAATTCAGACTCGAGACAGCTTTAAATAAACGGCCGACTCAGAGTATACTTTTTAATTTAATTTAATTCGACAGTATCTAACTGTTAACCTCGTTCGGTCAGTGAAACTGTAAGAGTAGTAAATAGAATAAAGTGCTACGTTCACTATAAGCGCGTGCTCGATTGTATTTTTCTACGCTATATTAGATTTTAATCATTTGATGTGTTATTTTTAGTGAGGTGTTTGGAGGCAGCATGTCTACACTCGGTCTTGATGTCATCGACAAAGCTCTGGTTCACAACCGGGTACGTATCCGTTGTGAGAAACATAATAACCCGTATTCACTCGGAATATTGTTTGCTTGAATTGACCTGTTGATCAGCTTGTGCAACCTAGTTCCTTTTTTCGACCTTTTTTTTTTTATCTATTACAGTGAAAAAAAAATCTCTAGAAGGTCTACCTGAGAAATTTTGGTAAGCACTATATACTCTTAGCCTGTTAACACACCTTACAATCGTTCTGTTAACAATTACAGATTGCAGCGCAGGATCTTAACGGCGAGAAGCAGCATACATATGCGAAGGCCATGTTTTTATCAAATTGCTACAGTCAGTGCTTCTTCCCTACCTATTGGGTCGGTAAGGCTTGCCTTAAAAAGCTTTTTATGTATGACACAAACATTCGAGGTTACTGCCGCGCTAGCTGCTAAGAGCGCCTATAAAAATCAGCAAGGCTCAATTTACGCAATATTTGGTTGCATAATATTTATTCTATATTGCATGTGTGCACTATCTGTTGTAATGCGTTTTTGTTTTCACACTTTGTGCTATGTTTCGAAACGGCGGTTTCGAATAAGCTAGCCCGGTTTTTCAGACTACCCAGGAGATGATTTGCTGTCACTGGGTTTAGCCATCTCCATGGCGGGCCGAAGAATTGAAGACGAATGTGTACTCATCTCGAATAGGAACAAAAAACGTTACCAGTTTGCAGGACGCGCCCCACGCGGTTTCTTAAAGGCGTTACGAGTAAGTCCAATGAAATGTTCTCTAATTAATAAACACTATTTTGATATTTAAATGTCCTTGTGCCTTCGTCACTGTTTTATAATGACCATGTTCAGCTATACTTTAGTTACCTTTTATTTCGTGCGTGTTCTTCAATTGTTCGGGGAAACAAGATATCATTTTGAGAATGAGCTATATTAACGAAGAAGTTACTGTACCTTTCACATTTTCGAATATTAACGTTATCTCGTGCCGATTACTGAAAAACAGTAGCAAAACTAACCGCAAGAACATAGATGCTTTGCTATATTAACTGCTTTAAACCATTTTAGTCCTGTTGGTACGCCGAAGACTCGTTGAAACAAACTAAGAAAATGCTGGCCACATACAAGGCCAAAACTGATGTGGACCGTTTTACGGAAAGTAGGCAGCTTTTTAATTACATTCTTAACGAAATACGCATCTTTCAAACGGTAAGATGGTCCTTCTTGAGTATTCTCGATATATATGTTATTTTCCCTTATATGCAGACACCGGTGTTAACATTAACTGGTAATATTCACGAAAGCTATTTTCGAGAAACGTTTTCGCATTGTTACTATATTTTTTTTAATTTATACGTCAAAAAACTCTTCTTTAATGACGATTTTTATTAAAACAGGTTGTGTTACAATTATTTCGATCGGTTTGAAGTATTCACTTATTCGAAAGGAAGCAATCCCAAATCGAGCGATTATAGATGAAAAACACTCTCGGACAAGTTACCCTTTAAATGGTATAACATTTTCTTGTTTTGTCGTATCGCTTGTAGGCCATGCTCAGCCATGAGAATTTCATCATGTATAATTCGATAAGCAACGTTGCAATTCTTAGTCTGCTTGTGTATTACAACAATGGAGGTAAGTGAGGGAACTTTACAGACATTAGTTGCTCTAGATTCGATAGGACAGTATATAGAAGGCATTTTATGGTTGTGTGGCTTAAGAAACAAACTATGAAAATATCTTTTTCTTGTTAGTAGTTTTAGTAGAGGTCCATTTGGTTCCCACTCTGAAGTGCTTTGCTAGTCGAAGGTTACCGCACTGCAGCAGATTAACAAAGTAGATTCCTGAGACTAAATGAGCAAATTCTTCTAATATAGTTTTTGCCAACTTGACAGGCTTACGTACACATAATCTAATAATATAAAAATTTAAAGTCGTTCGCTTCTGAATTGATGGAATAATAATAATAATCGAAGATTTTATTTCTTAGAGGTTATAAAAACTGTCTATATCTCATTATTCGTTTTCACTAGCTTCATGTAGTATAGTTGTTAGATGCTCGCGAGAGTATCACTTCGTATGGATACCGACAATGAACAGAATTCGAAATCTCGTTCTCTACGATACCTCTGATCGTTTTAATTTTACTATTACCTCTTTTAGAATGGGATCAAAACGTTTATTCCGATTTTGCTGCGTTAACGGCATCTTGTCAAGAGTTTGTTGAGTCCGCTGGCGTCCCTACTTCTATGGCTTGCCTTGCACAACAAGTGGAGAAACAGTTTGGAGAAGAGTTCAAAAAGTTGAGTTTTGAAGATGCTGACAAAACTTTGCGTGATGACCGCGGTGAAGCTGGTAGACTCTTTAATAAGTTCCTCGATGAACACGGGCATCGCTGCATGCGAGAGGTACGTGACTAACCATCAAGCGGAATCAACACTGATATACATTCAATTATGAATGTGGAAAGGTAAACATTATTCATTGAAGGGATATTTGAATCAAACTATTTTAGCCCTTTTAAAAAAATGACACTTCTGACAACAATATTATAGGTTCAAAAAACAAAAATAGGTGACAGCAAGGACCTGACATAGTCCTTTTTGGTTTTCAATCAAAGCCTTGAAAATGTGACACCATCTTGTGCATGAGCAATACATAAGAAAGATTCTGCATTTATGCTTAAGCTGTCAAAAATAAAGGAATAATAATACGATGTTCTTTCCCAACGCGAATTCAACGATAAAGTACCTAAATAAAAATAACACAACAAAATTTAACAGGTCCTTATCTCCTTTATTGATGGTTATTGTGATTATTTTAGCAACTTAATGACAACTAGTTTGTTAACGAGGAGTGCTTTATTGGACGGTAATATGCTTCGTATGCTACTATTTGATAGATCTAATTCATGTATTCTATTTGATATTTTTAGTTGGACATTCAAGCGAAGTCGTGGTCAATGGACTCCACATTACTGATAAAATCTCTTCAGGCGATGGTAGGATCTATCAGAACTTCAAGTGAAAAAAAGAAAGTTCTCACCCATGACGAGCTAATCAATACGCTCAACATTCGCTTACCGAAGATATGTAGGTCAGTTTATTTTTAAAGCGGCTTCATAGGGATTTCCTTTTTAGGAAACGGTTCTTATGTCCACCGATTTAATACTATGGAACAACCAGTTTCATGCATTTGCTCATAGTAACAGAATTCGTCACATATTTGATTATTTCATATTGAAGTATGTAGAAAATGCCTGAAATCTGATTTTAATGACCCAAATTAACAACGTCTCCGTATAATGTTTTTGTGGGCGGTCATTAAATTACAGATTTATTTTGAAATTTATTTTGAGGCGGACGCAAAAAGGAATTGCACGACGCGAGACTGGAAAATCTCTTCTGGTTATGAGCAACGATTTCCTACGCAAGTATTTTTATCGACTAGGTAGGATGATGGTAAGTATTCGAAAGAAGCACCTCGTACAAAGCAGTATATGAGCGCCTATCGATAAGGTGCGCCATGGAACAGGCTAATCCCCTCCTCGACTGAGCCTCTATTTAAAGAATTTTTTATTATTTCTAATTCCGGCTCATTTTTACTCTTCGACAATGTTTCAAATTTGAGACAATATAATTTTCGCCTTGCCGATACGGCAAATTAGCACTGATTCCTGCTTGCCACAACTCAAATTATCCTTACCTATCATACAATGCAGTTACTAGCTTTTTTAATACCGTTGAGTACTTATGATATGATACATGTGCTTTCGACACTCCTTTTTCACAGTTGACTGTAGCTCCAAAATGTTTGTGTGAAGCGTAAAAATCTATTCTGGTATTATACATTAAGGGGTAACAAAGTATAATCGATTACCGAAAACAGGTAAAAGATGGGCGTCTACCTGAAGAAGACCTTATATTTCACTTAACATTATCCGAGATCCACGAACTTTTCGAAACTCGTGCGCCTAAATATCTCATTCGAGCTCGTCATCGACGGACCAATCAGAAGGCTGCGGCAATAGCAATTTTTCCTGAACACTGTATTGGCCGACCTATCCAATGTGTATGTAACCTAACTGTGTAGTACACGCCACCGAATACAATATGATCTTAGATAACACTGCCTCTAATTACTACTTGAATATCTGAGAGTGTCGTACAATATTAACACGAACATGTGGTAGTATCGGAAAATACGTGCAGCTACAGAGAAATCGATAAGAACAGCAGTGTGACATCGCTTCTAGAGCACATAATAATACAGTCTGTTGTCAATTGACGTTTCCTCAGTTGAATGCGGCAAGAGGTGAGCTTCCAGTGAAAATGGCTGCTGGTACGCTGATGAGGGGTACGCCTGTCTGCGCTGGACAAGTAACAGCTCCCGTTCGGGTTGTTTGCGCTCTGGAAGACGCCGGTCAAATTCAGAAGGTATATCGATTGGGACGTAAGCATTTTCTAGCCTTCATCTGCGTGACATGGACAAAGAAGTAATAGAGTGTACCTGAACCAAAATAAAGGAGAGAATTGCGCAGATTCAAGTAATCATTCTAGCAGCATCCTTTCTTTCAGGGTGACGTATTAATAACGTACGCAATAGACATCGGCTGGTCACCGTACTTCCCGTTACTCGCTGGAATCGCCACCGAGCTTGGTGGAGCCATCTCACATGGTAAGAGCACGCTGGATAATGTCACTTAAGACACCAAATCGACTAAAGCAAAATTTTCAAGAGGTATTAGTACCAATAAAATTGTTGCTTCGCAGAAGTTTATCTTGGAAGTATATATAATAAGAGTAATTGAATAAAAATTATAATTCATTAGATTAAGCTTTTAGTAACGGCGTGCGTTTGATAAGCAACAACCGTATACTCATTCACGTGTACAAACAATAAGTATCAGTGAATCAGAGAGGTATTATATTACTGACTTTATTATATCACTTGGTAAAGTATTGCTATGTCAAGTATGACAGTTGGTTTCTTCTCATCTTAGACTAGCATAACAGCTCTTACACCCCGGATCGACGTTTAACAGCATCTGTACGTTCGTTTTGCCTTTGTTTTGTAGGTGCCGTTGTCGCTAGGGAATATAGCCTTCCTTCAATTGTGGGCGTGCACGGCGCTACTCAAGCGTTCCAATCTGGCCAGATCGTGGTGCTGGATGGGTTAAAAGGCACAATCGGACTAGTTGCTGACTGATAGCCTAGTGGTCTTATTCCGATCATCTTGCTCGGCTATTAGACATGTAGTATAGTGCAGGTGACGGCCCGCAATAGCTGTGCGCGATTATCGCTGAAATATCTGATTTCTGTAATGGTGGCATGGTACGCGTCGAACGTATTTAGATCACGTTCAATCAATCGCTTTTCGCGGAATAACGCAAACGGCGGTATATAAATGTGTTCATTACTTCAGGTGGTTATGCATATGCATCTACCAGAATAGATTTTCTACAACTTGATTTTCAAGAGAATATATATGTATTTTATTATCGTGCGTGTAATTAAAAACAGAGAGGATTTACTAACTCTTCGAAAGGATCATTTATAGTAACAAATATAATGGTGGAAATGGGTCGAGCTTTCATTTACCCTTCAATTAAACGAAAGTGCAAAAATGCAATTATATGAGGTAATATCAAGTTAACATTACCTGCATATGCGGGGCGTTCAAAAGGCTGGAAACTTAGGGTCCTTTAGACAGAATATAAAGAGCAAACAACTATGCAACGCTTCGCCTTCCGCAATGAAAAACTAAGGCCAGACTTTTGGCTAAACCTTCTACTGAAAGAAGATCCTTAATGCTGAAGAGAGTATTCCCAAGACTTGTTTGCACAGTAAAAATAACCAAAAATGTTTCAAACAAAAGAGAGAAAGAAACGAACAATTGGAGTTTATGGTATTATTGAGAAAGTTCTAAGGGTCCTTAAGGTGCTTCGCATTAATAAACGTAAAAGCAGACAAAATAGGTCGTTTGCACTTTTTTTCGCACCCGTACTGCTCATACTAATTCAGTACATTATGCTTGCATGCCGGACATAACGTACATATAAAACCGTATCATTTGGATACTCTTATTGTTTGTAGTCCGCCCAGCTCAGGCAGGTAATTAATTTGGCAGGTAGATCTGCACATGTTAGTGATTAAAGAGACTGCTACATAGCAGTGAGCTGTACAAATTAATTGTTTTAACTTGACGCGATGGCTATAATCGTATTTGAACTCACGGAAATGGATAGCTTTTTTTTTTTTTTTTTTCTAAAACAACACCAAATAAATAGGTTAGTATAGCTTTAAATATAAGTTTTCATTAAAATATTAAAATTTTTCGTTAAAAATAAGTTTTCGGCACTGTAAGCAATTGAGTTATTGCATTCATGTTTACTATATCAAGCAACGTGCTAACATAAAGTGAACAGCATACTTCGGTATAGGGCATAAAATGAAACCAGCGTTTTAAAATTTTTCGTTTGCGACAGCGTATAGCATTGGATCAAACGGTTTTTTGTAGTTCGCGATAAAACCGGAGGTATAAGACTAAAATTAATAAAACAAATATAGAGACTTTTAATAATAACAATCAGAATGACGAAACAGAGACGTAACTAAATGGTATTGCAGTCATCTGTTTTAACTGGGTAATACATCTTCAACTTGTAGTGTTCTCAATTCCGGTGTACAGCCATTTTAATTCGTCCTGGGGATTAGGCGTCTCAAGTAACGCCTAACGGCGGTTAGCCGGACGCAAAACACGTAAAGACATACCTTTAACGTTCACACCTGTCGTAACTATAAAGCTAGATTTGTATTCGACATGCTTATACATGTATGGCTATACGTAAAAACTAATTATCCTTAATTTTCACGGTTTTCGGTACTGATTTTTTCCCCTTACATATTTCAACATTTGGAATAGAACAGTAAACGGGTTAGTATGTCAACGGGGTCACTAAAAACGACTAAAATTGTAAGGCAAAGCCAAAATAACATTTTTATTAGATTATTTTAAAATGAGGCATAGTCATTATTTCATTGTGAAACACGCTTGAATCGTGTTTAAGAATCTTTTAAGCATAAGTAAACGCTACTCAGTGCGAGATAACAACACATTCTTTCTAGCCACAGCTAATTGTCCTCTCTACAAGAATAGCAGTCTAAAGTATTGGGATGACTTTATATTTTATGCCATAATTTTATACTCCATTGGCGCGATGTAAATGTGGGTAGCCGACAGCCAGGTAGAAGGATATTTTGGTGCAGTTCTACTACTTCAACAGGTAAGGGCGCCTTGATCTGTAGATAAGAATCATCGTATCATTGGCGCCTGAGCTGAGCGATGAAAACAAACTTCTACGAGGCGATAACAGTCGTGTTCGATAGGGACTATTGTTTGAACAAGATAAAAATTTTAAATACAATTAACGATTATTATTATTGTTTTATATGACCAATGGCCGGAACCTACCATGTTGCAATGGAGAAGTCCGCATGCGGTTGTTGTTGAACGGGCTAACTACTTGCTGTGCGTTGCTCGTTATGTGCGTATATGTGGTGGGCGGTGTTTGAATCGATAAAAAATCACTTTGCCCCTTCTGTTGGGACGCCCTGTGCATAAGCCGGTAATTACCTTAATCATATTTAATTAGTCTAGAGCTTTACAATTTTATTAGTGTAATAATTAATTAGTAGGTATTAATTTAATAGGTAATAATTCTGAAGAAACTCTAGATATTAAAGCAACGACCTTTTAGAATATAATGCGTTGCTTAAGGACATTTTGGAAACATGTAAGGTGCACTGTCGTTCTAAATTCGCAATCAGTTTTTTGTTTAACAATACTAGTTCAAACAAAAGCAAAGTTTACGGATACGTATTGGGTGATTCTAAGATTTGTTTTCAATGGCTCAGCTTGACTAAGAAAGAATCGTTCTAAACATACCTCATTAGTAACTCGAAATCGCGCTCAAAGAAAGTATTGTGCTATTTTTTTGGCGTCTGTATTATTTGGTATCGCCGCTCACTGCTGCTATACGCACACTGTTTGCTTATAGAACCGTTCGAATACGTATAAATTAGTACTTGTATTTTATTTCTGTGTAAGTTGAAAGTTTATAAATTAGCTCTATACCTTCTACCAATGATGATATTAATAAATGTGATCATCTGGGTAAAGCAACTGTTGCAACAAACAGCATGAGAAATTCCCGAGCCCAAGTAGAATTTATTTAATCGACGACATTGCATTAACTTTAGTAAAAAGTGGCACTACTATAAAATGCGCTGATATCAGGAGAATTCTATTGTTGAAGATAGATTTATATCTGTTTTATGCTAAAGTCTACTGTACGCTAACCTTAACCAACCCTGCCTTTGTATTGACGATTTCTGTGCTTTGGATAGGTAACTCTAAAAATGTTTGAAAGACTCTTTTTCGGTCTTATTGGATTATCGAGCGACATCATTCAGGCGGATTCAAAGGGACGTCTAGCTTTAATGCCCGACTATGGTGGATCGAACGATGTTCAGCTGGTTGACGAACTTCTCGAGTTGGGGACGACATATAAATACCTCAGTCAATTTATTGATGAGATTAAAGAAAAAAATCCATATACTTTAGGAACAGGTTAGTTACCTATCTTTGTGAATTTATTATTCATGTCAGAAAAACGCCAAAAGATAAATTTAACCCAAACCCATTTTTATATCATTCGCTACACTTCGGCCACAGGGATGTACATTCGGGCGCTAGCGGATGGACTTTCGGAAGTTTTATGCGAATACCGGAAATGTGTAGTGCAATTCGAAGATTATTTCCTGTCACACCCGATGGCCACGTTGTCCGAACTGCGCAACGACCTGTCGGAGTGGTTTCCTGTTTTTCTAGCTCTTCGAAGTCGTATTTATCGCGTTCATATCGAACGAATGCATGGATGTCATTTGCTACGGTTAGTAATGCTATTATTTGCTCTCGCTAAAGTAAAAAAAACGTAGTTTTGCGTTTGTAAGTGGTATAAACGGTGTTACGTGGTTTTCGCCAGGTGATAATATCATATTCTGCTAACGTTACCCCCGTAAGGCATAGGTAATCGTTTTGATGGAATGATGAATATAATTAGCCAATTAGACTCGCTTTTTCTCTCAACTATGCTATATTATAAATAAAAGCTAGTATTTAATTATGTCTTTTTTAATTCATTGTTTTTTAGCTACATGTTCGGCGAGATGAGAGCATGTGGTCAGGAAAATGTGTGCAAACGTCTTAGCGTACTCGTGGCACGCTTAAACGATGTGCTTTTCGACCAACTTACTTCATGGCTTCTTTATGGAATATTGAAAGATCCACACACCGAATTCTTCATACGGCCTACACAAGATGGCGTTGAGGTGCGTTTTAGGTATAAAAACGGTCAAATTTACTCGAAGAAAAATTAACTCTTCAAGGTATCTACCTGTTAGGTATTTTCATACCGCCAAATGTCCGTACGTTTCTTTTGATCTCATTGGATTGGAATTAAATACTATACAGACCGTTTGGGGGCACCTAATCAAACACAAACAACTAGTTGGGAGCTTCATACCATCAAGTGTTGTAAGTAAGACGGGAACATCAAACTTAGTAATGTTGTTTTTCGAAAGAATACTAGTTTTAAATTTAGAACTAACTAACTTTGTATCATGTTTCATCGTGTTCGATTATTTGTTTTTTGTAGGTTGTTGATGACTTTGTTCCGCTCTATTTATCTGAGCATGCGACAATCGTCAAACAGGTCGGTGGAATTGTTGCAAAATTCAACGAACGAGGATACTTTGAACGTTCAATTTATGGCGAAAAGGAAGCGGAATATGCAAACGCATTACAGGTATATGTATTTCTATAATCAAATGCTTTTTTTCGTAGTAATTTGCTGCGGAACTCTGGTGGACGAAATAGGAAATCCATTACTATTGCGTACGGTTCTCAACGGTATGGAATCGCAGTCTATTTAATAATTTGAGGAACATAGGCTCAGTTTTTGGTACTATAGACACTGGGGAATCACTAAAGATTTACAAGTAATTTTTTTCGCAATTTATAGAAGTTTTTATGTTTGACGTAGGCCGCGCGGACGGACCTCGACTCACTTGCAACGGTTCTGGCATCCTTAAACGCGTTCACCTCAGATCACTTGTGGGAGCAGCTAGTTGTGCGACATCGCCTTGAATATCATTTAGATGCCCTGTTGAATACCGTATTTATGGGTCGAGGGGATCTCTTTCTACAGTGGATAGATAAGGTAACTGCGCTGACTACAGTGGAATGATCCGAGCTGTAATCATGTGTTTGTTTAATACAATTCTCTCTATTTTTAAAAGACTCTTAAATCTTATGCGAAAAACTAAGTACCCTGCAAATCATCTATTTGAAAATCCAAATGATTTTCTGGCTACAAATTTGTGGTAGACTTTAGCAATATTTGTGAAAAAAAATTATCTCTTTGGTTTTATGCATTTGCTAACGAACATTTATCCAATACTGTGACTTTTTGTGTAATGGCATGGTATCAGTTATTGAGCCTGTATTTTGTCCCTATTAGGTTCAACCACAATTCGTTTTGCCGTTTGAAGATTCACATTTAACATTAGCCGCAGAGTGTCTAAAGAACTGCTTTTATCAAGCGTATCCTGATGAAGATGCTGAATTTATTGAGCGTATACACTTTGTCACTAGCAAGGGTAACGTCGATTGTGTTAACACAGATACCTGGGCCATCCTTATGCTTGTTTACGATCTGCCCAGCGATTTGCATTGCCTACTATCGTTAAGGGAGCTTCGCTCTCTTGGTTATGCGTTCCAAATGCTGCTTGCCGTTCGGCGCGCTGAAATTGCCCTCAACTCAACGCTTGGCTCAAAGGTGACGGCGCAAGCAATGAAACTTCGCTATGAAATGGATTTCTTCGTGTCAAATTTTGAAAGCTATCTGCACATGGACGTACTCCACGTTAGTTTCGGTAAACTAAAGAAAGTTCTACACGGCTCACAGAGGAGCATCGACACTTTGCGAAAGGCACTGGCAGCATTTGTTCAAGACATTGCGCAAATGGTGTTTGTCAGCTTGCCGAAATTCAAAGAGACTCTCCTGAAAATGTTTCAAACATGCATCCGGTTTCCTTTGTACATCAACGGTGATTTGAGGACTATCGAACAAGAGTTCCGCTCCCAGCAGGACATTTTGCGTCGCTGCTTTAACGTACTTCAAGATCACGCAGCCGCACAGCAAGCCGAAAAACGGAATGAGTGCATCATGAGGTTCCTCTACAGGCTCGACTACAATCCGCAGTACCAGCAGACACGTAAAGAGATGAAAGCTCTGCGAGAGAAACTTCGAAACTCCTCAGCCAGTGCGTCTAAAGAACAAGTTTCCGATGGCAGGATCCCTTGACTCTTAAATAATATTTGGAAAGTTTATGACCATTTGGATAGGATCATTTTCATCAGTATGCAAGTGTAACGCAATAAGCATAGTTCTCACAAGGCATGTTATAAAAAAAACTATATAAAATAATGTATATATCACGCGGAAGAATCTAGTACTCTGGTGTTGCCAACTTTTGATTTATTTAATCCTTGTAAAAAGTGAAACCAGATGTTGTTGTTGTGATACAGCGCTATTTGTCGTTATTTCTGTAAGAGTTCCAAGGTTTACTGATTTCGATTTATGAATAAACAGGTAATTTTATTAGACAATAAAATGTTTTTGAAATAAACATTTTACTAGACTCATCTATTTTCGATTGATTTTTTGTAATATACGTCCTTGTACTCATGTTGTCTCTTAGACCACCTTAAGTCAACGTTGCGATTAACAATAATACGAAATATTCGAACAAAACAGTGTAAATCTAAACAAAATTTACACTATCGTTTAGTTTTCTATATGTGTACTTATAGGATCTATTGTATAATGCATGTCATCATTATCTATCCCGGGCACTATCTGGCATTGATTTGTTGTCTCAATCTATATTCTGCGTAAAGTGTTTTAGTTTTTAAGCGCATTTAACTACCGTGAGCAATTGCATAATAACTAATACATTTTTTGGTAATTTATAGTCTAATGCAGTTAGTCTATATGTGGAGGTTTATCAATTTCAGTCAGTATAGTTGATAAATACTTAAGCGTACAGCTTTGATTTGTTTATTTTTAGAACCTGAATGTAATATATCCATGTTATGTAGACAGTTATACGAGCAAAGATACCACAGGTATTTACAATGAAGGAAGATACAAGAATACTAGAATCTACTTGCTTACCTTTGATCTTAACGTAGAGACAAGAACAGTCATTGTTGTAATGTTAAGATGTAATGTCATGTAAACAATGTAATCGCCAGCTTTATGTATTTCAATGTATTTCAAAGGATACTTCTTTCACTATTTTTATTTTTCAATTTCGTCAAGTACACTTTACCTGCTATGGTAACGACGAAAAGTACTACTTTCGATCAATTCCTGTATTAATGATGTAAGTAACGGGATCAATGTTCTATCCTTTGATTTATGTATAGCCTACTATAAGTTACTTATATTATTTAATTGAGAATAGGTAATGTAACTTTCTAAATCACTGCCAATGTAAATATTAAATTTTGTTCTTCAGTCCGTTAAGCATCTAAAGTTGTTGTTACACGGTTGACTATAAACTTTTGATCAAAGAAGGATACTTTATTCGAATATTTTTATGAAAAAGAGGAATGTTTATTTATACTGTTGGAAACAGGAATAATATGCCCAATAGTACCTGATTTGTATCTCCCTGATTTGTACGGCTCAGCACAATGGTTTACCCAGTAAACTCTTTACTAGTGTGTCTATAACCACCACTTTTCCAGCTGAGCCAAATTATTTGTTTGGTATTTCGCAAATATCCGACCAAAACAGACAGATTTCTTGCAGTTGCTTTACGAAAGAACGATTCGCTTTAAGGAAGCTACAAACTCTTCTTTTTTCTTTTTTTTTCTATGCAAAAGAAAGACCAATTTTCTAAAGAAAACTTGTCTTTTTGCATACGTCTATACTACTCAAAATGTAAGATGAAGTAAAAGTAGGTTCACAAAAACAGCACCCGTATCAACTAAGAATCTATTTAATTTTTTATGGTGAGAAAACTTTTTCTTGCCTCTAGACTTACAATTTTTGCTACTGTAGGTGTTACGTAGCCCTACTCTGCAAATATAATAATACGAGCTAATATATGTATATAAAGTCAGGTCGTATTATTACATTCGTTCATGTATATATACGAACCCTTATATTAAGACAAATAATTTTGTTTTTTTCGCGTCACTTTAGTTGGTTCGTTTAGTAACGGTTTATTTCATAATCCCCTGTTATTTTGTAGCTACAGTACTGGAGAAAATACAGATACACACATACAAGAATTTAAGCGCAAGCACTTTTGGCCGCGAGAAGAAATAGTAATGAAGACGATTCGCACTATTTTAATACTTTATCACTATATTATGAATCAGGAACGCCTTTGGACGTGTAACATATACAAAATACAGGTTTGATGTTAGGTAATGTCAATGATATGAAAGGTTGTTGGTAACACTGACCAATGAAGAGCAAAATCGTTTTTATGAACTTGAGAAAAATCATGAATATTTATTTACCATAATTCTAAAAAACACTTGCTGAGCTCACCAATTAAGTACTAATGTGGGCTACACGCTGTTTTGAAATGAGCCTAATTATACTTCTGTCTGCTTCTTGTTTCCCCTATTTTCGTTTATTTAAAAAGCCACCTTACTTTTGCCATAGCTACCTTTTAAAAAGGTTTAAAATGTTATAGAGCTTCAGTTTGCAATGAGCTTGGTTGTTGGTGAAATCTCATAGATTACGTAGAGATCTTCAATTGTGCAATTCTTTCTAGCTACATTTTTCAGTTTAATGTTCTTTTTTTGTTGAGAAAGTATCTTCTTCCTTTTATGAAAAGTGGCTGTAGGAATTTCGATGTGCGGTATTAAAATCTAGCTCTATTGTCACAGACAATTTATGAAAGCAAGTGTGTGCCATAGTAATACATATGAATCCAGAACGTCACTATATATAATACAACGTATGCACGACTTCCAATTTTGTTAGTTCGTTCATGAAGGTTCGTTTTAAGCTATAATGTTTTACGCTGTTTGCCCTTTCCTATCGTTGTTTCCCTTACCCAAAAATGCGCCATAAGCACGACCTGAAAATAAAAACATCTATCCGAGGTGGAAATCGAACAAACCCTCTACCGCGTGGTTTATCTGTGCGCTGTTTTTTGCGTCAAGCTGAAAAGTGATTTTGCTTCTTCATAGTTGGTTGATTGCAGACTATGCTATTAGAGAATAGTCAACTGCGGATATATCTCGCTCAGCCGCTGATGTTTCCTAATTATATTCTGTAGAGACGGAAAGAACTTCAAAAGTCCGTAAGCAAGCTCATGATGAATGGTATTAAAGCGTGTTATTAAAAAATTATCAGACGTGTGCTGGATACATAAATATGCTATCACGCAATTGTCTATAGCAATTAATACGTCCTTTATACGATTTCATGGGTAGGAAAAAGATACCTTCGTTAATTTTTTTTCTAAAGCTGCTTCACATTCGCATGCGGAAATATTGTCTATCAGGACATTAGGTTTAGTAGATTGAAGTAAATTCAGGTGAAGTTTATCCACTTTGTAATTAGTGCAGGCTCGTCGTCGCCACCCGCGAGCGTTGACTTACGATTTGAAGTTTTATTTCGACTCAATTTGTGATTGGAAAAACCTAAGTATCAGTTGTCAACATGTTTGTCGCGGCGCGCTCTATTCTCGCAAGTGTTTGTCGTGAATCGCGTCGCTTTGCTTGCTCGATTAAACCTACGCCTACTAATGCGACGTCAGCGATACAACAGCATGAACATTTAACAGAAACGAAGAATGGTTCTAAATTACCTCCCCATGATCTTCGCCAAAACCAATTAATCTACGAGACTGAGCCAGTAAAATATTGTATAGACGATTTTAAACACTTAATCAAAGATGAGACGGATAAAAAACGAATACATCTGATTCTTCTTGAACGGTTGGAACGAGAAGACTCAGGCCAGATGCCTCGCGTTATAAAAGAAAAAGATATGATAAATCTCATGGGTCTGAGGTCACCTACTCAAAGGTCTTCATACTTTCGGTTAGTTATCATATTGTCACATTTTTGTTTTGTCTATAGTATTATGTTGTAGGAGTACAATTTGGAGTGGCAATAAACTAAATAGAAAAAAACTTGCCTCATAGGATACATGTGACTGCGAACAAAAAGCTATGATTATGCATCCTAAACTTGCTTTGGAAAGATCCTAAGAGCTTCTTTAGACGACCAAATCCACAATAACTCTTTTCTGAAATCTGTTTTATTTTTATTTTCGTCCCGTTGCAAAATTGGGAAAAGATACTCTCTTTGAAAGAATGCAAACAACGTTTTTTAAATTCTTAACAATATATACGCCGCTTCCGAAACAAAAGTGTTTTGTCTGACCCAGGCAGCTTGTTTCTCATTGATCTTCCACATAGATTTTGTAGAAAAGATATAACATTTTTGAGGCCAAACTAATTAGAAGCCAATAATAAAAAAGCGATAGCAAGGATAAACAGGGCAACGTAATAGACAATTTATGGAATATTGTTCAATCCCATTTCTGAATACGGAATTAAATACCTTTGCTTAGGCGAATTGTTAACGAAGTTACGTTCTAGCTTACAACTTTGAAATTTTAATTCATTAATAAATGTACATATAAAATGCACGTTGGACTTACGTTTTTATTTAATCCATAACCTGTCTGTTCGTCTTATTGTTATCGGCAATTACAGCTATCTGTTCAAAACAGAAATGAGTGAAGCTAATGCTAAGGCTAAAAAGGAAAGACGCCGACTTGAACGGATGTCCTTACCGAAGAAGCCTACCAAGATGGATAAAGGTATTTTTCCAATTATTCGGGACCAGCAAGAACTTCTTTTCTATAACTGGCGACTAGCAAGCGCTGCTTTGTTTGGTCAGAAGCTTGTCCTTGATTGTTCCTTTGAAAATGTTATGCGTTGGCAAGACCTGAGCAGCCTATGTCAACAGCTGCAGCTTATCTTCGCCGCGAACAAGGTAATTGCATAAGGTATATCCGTGTCTACGTTTATTAATGTCTCACTGCAATGCTTTATTTTAATTTTACAAAATTAGAGAGCTATGGCTAAACGCTGTGATTATAGCCCATCGTTGTCTTTGCAAAACACCGTCTGTTTAAAGCCTTGCGCGTTGTGTCGAGGACAGCAGCAATGTCACGCCATTATAGTACGGAGCTTTTAGCAAAATGAGTAAGGACTTAGCTTTTATGTAAGCCCAAGAAATGTGGGTTTAATGATGTTTAGTTTATCGAACCGTTTGGCATATCAATGCTCTTGTATGGAAGCACTTCTTTTCTATCATTCTATATTCTAGTTAACGGGTTCTTTATATTTATTGTGATTGTTGCTTTTTTCATATATTCTTTATGTCAATTGCCTCTCGCGTTTGGTTGTTGACGACTTATGCATCCGAAGCTATCACGAGATCCGTTCGACTTGATTTTATCCGACATCCCGAAAGGAGGCCTGATGGATGAAGCAATCGATCGCAGATTTCCCCAGATGAAGACTAAAAAATGTCTTATCACCAAGAGCTACGATAGCTACCTGGATATGTTTCCACCAGAAAAACTCGTCTACCTTTCACCAGATTCGACCAATATCATGGGAAAATATGATCCGGACGCCATATATGTGATAGGTGGAATTGTCGACGTGTCAATGACTAGACCTCTCTCGCTCGCCAAGGCTAAAAAACAACGCATACAACACGCTAAACTGCCATTGGGTCATTATGTGCCTGAATTTAGGCCTGGCTCATCCCAAGCGTTTGCGCTTCATGTGATTGGTGACATTCTGCTAACGTTGAAAGAAACGAATGACTGGAAAGCGGCGTTTTCAAAAATTCCGTCACGTTACATAACTAATATTAGGAAAACGTTTGCTAATCGTAAAAGTCGACTCCCATTCTGTTCTAATGGTACTGATCGTTACAATAATAGAAACTTCAAATAAGGCATCTACTAATCGCTTAGAAACATCGATTTATACAAAATAAGGAGTAATATGGGGAAGGGAAATCGAAGATGGGAGATTAATTTAGAATGAAAGACGCATAGTTAGCCATAGGGTTATCTGTATAAGGGGACGTTTAAAAGGAGAGAAGAGGACTAGTGGAATTCCTAGCAAAAGGTACAATATACAACGTATTGCTAGTTTATTATAATAAAGTTTTCAATTCAAATTAACACATAAGCATTATATTTTCATTTTCTTTGGGGCAACTTACAAGACTGCCGCCACTTTTTCAAATCATACTGGTCTCTATCTGCAGACGAAAAATTGACACGCCGCGTGCTCCAGCCCCACACAGGCGTTAACGAATACACTCCTAACAACAAAATAACAGGCGCAACACATTCGATTCGAACAACGCGCAGCTGAACGCCCTTAAAGGCTCAGGCATCGAATGAAAGCTTGTATATCATTCGCATTACCTTAGTCAGTGTAAAACACTGTCGGCTATACCGTTATACCAATACCATATCCCATTCTTATATAGCGTAACGCTGACTCAAGTCAGCCAGCTGTTAGTTTTGCAGGTATAAAGAAAGTATACGGACCACTGTGGCTATATTTTAATTATACTTCTATACTGCATGAAGACATCAGGACCTTCAGAATCGTTCTTGTAGCTACCACGGAACTCTTCAATGGTGGAGCGAGTTATGCACCAAGTGAGGAAAGGATCTCTCTATTTACCCGTTGTGTAGGTTGAATAGGCCTGAATATAAGCTGGCGATGTTTGCTGCGGTGCGCATTTCAGTAGTGGGCTTCCACAATAAAGTACGTCTCTTGGCCGATCAAATTGGAACTATATCAAGAGCGTCAGCGATAAACACATCCTCGCAGACACGTTCAATGGGATCCGAAATATCTCAGAACAATGCTTCTGAGAAGTTGCAAAAGAAGACGATTGAGGATAATTTCCATGGCCTTCACACCGATCGTGAGCCTGTTAGTTACCAAGTGAATGACTTCAAACAATTAATCCGAAACAAAAATGATGCAAAACGGATACATCTTATACTTCTTGAATGTCAAGCATTGTTTGAAACGACAAGTCGAATACCTCCTGTTATTGAAGAAAAACATATGATTGAACTGATGCAATTACATTGTCAGGTTCAGAGATCACACTACTTTAAGTAAGTTTTTGCGATTGTAGTGGCTTTCTCATCTCTACTAACGTCAGAAATAGAAGAAAACAACACGAGTAGAACTTCTCACATTGTTTTTAATTGTATCATTGCAGCGGAATTCACTATAAAATAAAGAATGCACCTTATACAATTTAAATATTATTTGTAAAAACTTACCAGTGGTTTCTGGTACAACATATAACTATATTAAAGCATCTTGTTAGACATAAGACAGCCAAATGAAGCATAATAAGGCATATTTTTTATTTGTAAAGTAGCATAGATGTTTAGTTCATTCTGTTGGCTGGATACAAATAATGAAGAGCATATATTTGTTACATGTACATACATGTTATGAAATGTCATAGAGAAAAAGGGCCTGGTGCTGTTTGTTTGGAATCACATACTAATACAATAGACTTTACAAGGTTACATAAAGGAATAACCAAAATATATTTATATACATATACTAAACATCCTTATGCATCACAGTCATGTTTTCTATAAAAATATGATTTACTTATTAACTTATGAGTCATACTTCTACGCTAGAAATACGCTATTACTATATGTCTTTAATATTCTCTATTGTCGCTATCTCTCATTTGCAGATATATGTTTATAACACAAATGAGACGAAAGAATAAACAAATCGACAAGAAAATGCATCGCTTAGAGTCGGAGCTAAAGCTAAAGCCGCCTTTGCAAGGCAGCATTTTATATCATTGTAATGATCCTCTACAGCATGTTTTCTACAATTGGCGATTGGCTAGCGCTGCCTCATTGGGACAAAAACTTGTGCTCGATTGTTCATTTGAGCATGAAATGACTCCAAGGCAGTTTAGCAGTTTCAGGACACAGTTGCGGTTTACATATAATTACAACAAGGTAAGATGTCAAAGCGCGTAACTGTTCAGGTCTGTGCAAGTTTATACTTCATTTTTATATCAGTGCATATTGCAGGAGGAAAAATATGTAAATGGCTGTTCAGCAGTGCTAACTAATAGAAAAGAACGTTTACGAAAAATGTGACTATTATGACAGCGAAGTAAATACAGGGCGTGCCCAAGAACACATAATTTTTCTGATAAAGCAAATATATAGAAACTGAGCTTGAGCGTCAGTTTTTTTGAGACGCATTGCGCTTTACTTAAATAGTGATTTTATCTTTCTATTAATTCCATTTTTGCATGCTGTTGTTGGTTATTTGCTTCGTATGCCCACTATGTCGCTACTTCGCATCCGTACATTCAATGGACATCGTGCGTCAGATTTCTCGCGATCCTTTCGATTTAATCTTATCGGATATCCCGAAAGGCGGGTTATTGGATAATGAGATAGGCAAAATATTTCCTCATATTAACAAAAGCAATTGCCTCATCACGAAAAGCTACGAAAACTTTCTCAGGATATGCCCGAATAAACGCATTATCTACTTATCGCCGAACTCGGAAAAGGTCATTACAAAATGGGATGCTGACGCAGTGTTTGTGATAGGCGGAATTGTCGACACGTCACGATCGAAGAGACTGTCAATTACCAAGGCCAAACAGATGCAGGTTGAGCATTTCAAACTGCCAATCGGCCACTATATATCGCAGTTTTCATTAAATTCATCTCAGACATTAGCCATTCATGTTGTTGCCGACATTTTATTGACGATCAAGGAGACCAACGACTGGAAAAAAGCCTTTTCCAAGGTGCCGACACGTTTCAAAAACAACATTGAGAAGATAAGAGCTCTTCATGAGGTTAAAAATAAAACCCACCTTAAGCCGAAATTCCGTGAATGGTAATTATGAGAAAATAAACAAGATATTGAATGCTTTCACAGTGTATACAAAATATGGAAGAGAGAGAGAGAGAGAGAGAGTTAAATAATAGTTGAAAGTTACTGTGAACTCGTATTGAATAAATTAGCGAAAAGATGGCAGCCAAATATGTGGTCAAATATAGGTCAAAACATAAGCTGCTATATGCCGTATGCAAGGTGATAAATGAATGCGAATATAAAGCAGGTATTATGGAAGAGGTAGATCGTCTATACTTAAGATTACACTTCGCGGACTATAAATGATATGTCTAATTAACATCAAACTAACAATTTGATGTTTTGTGCTTTGACCTAAAAGATCATTTGTAGTTTAGCGCACATTTTATCGTGAAATCACCATACTGTCAACAGTAGCCAAGCTTGTTTATATTTGTTCCTTTTGATGAGAGAGATTCGCAGCTAGAGCTGAACGGTACCTTATATAAACGTACCTAGTCGACCCTCGATCCAGGTCAGTTAGATCAAAAGGGAGAACGGACGTCATTGTCGGATAAACATAAACTACAATATATACAGAGTGATAATTTTAGATTGAGTTTTTCTTATGACTGTACTTTACAAAGCATGAATGTTTCAACGAATTTATTTGCAATCGTTAAAAATGTTATTTTTGACGATGATGTTTGCTGGATGTAACCTCCGTCCGTTTCAGGTATAGTTTCAATTTAGAGCTTGATTATTTCAAAAATATTTCTTCTCTAATCCCCAGATAATTGTCTAATTAATGGTAGGTACTGGTAAATGTAGGTTCATTAAAGTGTTGCGTATATACGCTCAATATAACATAAGAATATCGCGGAATTGAATGTTAGGTTAATAGCAGGCCGAAACTCCAAAAATATAAAGGTTCAAAATAATCAAAAAAGTCTAAAAAGTATGAAATGTGCGAAGGACATTAGCTATCTGAGTTTACGTAAACGACCCAATCTGCAATAGATACTTTCCTTCCCATAGCAGTCTTTTTTTTACATTAAGAATCCGGGATTATCAAACATGTTTTTTGCGACATTTTGATGAATTATCGAGCTGCAAAAAAGTGTAACGGCAGTGAGTGTGGGTGATTAATATTATTTCAAATGTTAAAAATTGAGACTCGCTTAAACTTACTTTAAGAACATAACAAAAACTTTTGCACTAAGTGCTGACGTCGTCAGTATAGTAACGAGGATAGCGGACAGCAGTAGGTTTGTCTGCACGTAAACCAAAACGCTTGTCCAGCTCAACAGAAAGCTATACCTGAGTTCTGCAGTCTGATGGCCATTTGATTCATATAGAAATAGGCTAATTCGTTTATAAGTTTCAGGCCATAGCATGTAGGATGAAATGTACTGCGTAATTTCTGACAATGAATGCCAGGCAATAGCATTATTTGCACAATGTGATCTTTTTTATATAATAAAACGAAATATCAAAAACCGACCTTTTAATAACACTATGTTAGGTAATATGCAGTGCTTTGATGTTTTGTTATGATGTTTCTTATACCTTAAATTGAGCAAGGTTTGAGTCCAACGCAGGTCTTCTCTAGCAATCAAAGGAACCACTGCAATGAAAGACAGTCTATCTAGTAACAGGGCTTGGTAGGCCTGTTCTGCTACACAATATATATCACAAGACAAAGATACGTTTTGCACATTAAGGAACTGCCTAGCCCTGACCAGAAAGAAATATTAAAGGAAAAAAGCCGTGAGTTATCTCTGGTAATTAGGGCATCGTAACGCTTCTGCTAATATGTTATGTAAAATTATACTGACCGGCTAGATTTCGGGCTTTCCCTGGATAAATTAGCATACTTCTATATGAATCAAATTATTTGCTATGAAATTCGATAGAGGTGAAATTGTTAGCAGGGAGGAGATGTTTTGCCGTGTACGTGAAGTAAGAAATATGGGGTTCTACGGAATAGGTTTAAATCCTGAGTTAAGAAAGATTCGCGACGGTTACGGTGTTGTCCTCGCTGGGAATGGAAGGATCGGATAAAGCAGAAAGTGGCGGAGAAGCACAAGGCGATTAAGAAAATACTTATGTTATTCAGCTGCAGGCCAGGCCCAAATCATCTGTGCTAATGAGGGTAAGTAAATTAGGTCCAAGTGTAGGAAGGCCGCAGAAAATAAACCTCATTTATTCACCTTTGAACTGACTATTGGAACAGATCATCTTTGGACGGTCTTTACATTGTCTTCGGTTATCCCAGGCGGTGTCTTGGCAGTGAGTCGATATCATGATGGACAATTGAACCGACGTGGGAGGACATCGAACCCACATACAATTAGATCGTGGTGAGTGGTAATTCTTAAGCATTAAGTAATAGCAGGTTTAAGCAATATTTATGGCTATAAATAATGGAAAATTTACGGTCATAGAATATTTAACATTGTTTACTATTAGTTAGTAAAGAAGAACATAACTATTATTAGCATTGCATTAAAATACAATTGTAAAATCTGCAGATTTTTAGAGCCGTACTGAAATTGTCTTCCATTTTTTCCCGAACCGCCTTTCACCTTTAGGTCATTAAATAGTCGTTATACTGGCCACAACGCTAAATGAGAATAATATAAAGGGATCGAACGGGTTCTTTTGACGCTGTAAATCAACCAATCTCCGCGTTCGCTAACTCCAGTGCGAAAAGCTTTACGCTGCCTTGAGAAAAGTGCCAATGCATTTTATTCAAGACAATTGACGGTTTACTAAAACATTAACTTCGTATTGTAATTTCAATCAGTAACTTAGTAAGTTTATATGTTTATATGAGCAGAAAAAAACTTTGTTTTCCCTTGGTCAATTCGTATTTGGTACAAAGTCCTTGCATATTCCAATTCGTAAATCCTATAAATCAGTATAAATGAAACTAGAAATTTAGTTCATCTAAATTTTACTACTGATTGCTTTTGTACTTCTTTTGTGCGAACAACAGTTAAACCATTGCTGTTCTTTGAACTGTACGCCTCAATGCCGGCATTTCCGAATATCAGCTTTGCCACCAAAAATATATGAAATCTTATAGATATTTAAAATGAGATTGCACAGCCAGAGCAGTATGCTTGCTTTCTTTCCCGGTTATTGCAGTCTGCGGAATGTAAATATATAGAAAACAGGTCAGATTATTCCTATATTTACTGTGTAGGTGCGTGTCGGGGTTAACGGGTACACAAGGTTCACCAAGTGAACACCTGGAGCCTTCGAGTGCTACCACCCTTTGGATGATCATACCATACGGTACAACTACGATATTGAGCCCATAAAATATTGTCAAAGTGACTTTGAACAACTAATCCAAACTGAAACAAATGCCCGGTTTGTAAATTTAATACTTCCTGAACTTGAAGCAACTCGTGATAACTTACAATTTACACCTAAAGTTGTTTATGAACAAGGCATAATTCGTTTGATGGAACTGCATAGTTTTAGTTTGAAGACCATATTTAAAATCAAAAACAACATTATTATTTGAATCATCGAGTATTTAATAGAGAGCTGCTATTAGACATTTAAAAAAAACTTCTTTTTAAATAAAATACATTTACAACCCTGCAGTCCAAAATCATCTTTTGTAAGCACATTGACTAGGTATTACTAGAAATGATCAAATATCGTTCTATATATATATATATATATATATATATATATATATATATCTCAAACGTAATTAGCTGAAGGACAAGCTCATTCAGGTCACAAAATGAGAGCTCTAATAATATTCCGCCCTTTAAAATAACTTCTTTCTCTGAAAAAGCCCGAAAGGTAAGCTTACTCATTTTTACTATTTAGCTTTCAACATATAATTAAGCATGTGTAATTTGTTTGACTGTTTATAATGTGATACGTTTATGTGGCTCCAATCTCAAAATTAAATGTACCAAAACTGAGTTTCTGATACAACATGTGTGACAACTATTAATAATGGATTCGTCGGTAAATTTACATTTTGGATTCGGGATTGCACTTTGTTGACCCTCCTTGTATTTTTCTTTCGCTGTTTATTTAAGCAAGAAATGGTTCGAATCAACCAAAAAATAAAAAGGAGCAACGATGTTTGTAGCTTGAAGCGCATGTCTGGAGGCCCCCAGGGATGGAAAACGGTATCTTTTCGATAATTCCGAATTCGCGATATCACTTTTACTGTAATTGACCTCTATCAGCGCTTCCGTGCTCAACCAAAAGCTGGCTCTCGACCGATCCTTTGATGAGGCCAAAGAACATCAACAGTTTCGGGATGCAGACCCAGCATCCACACAACCTGAATAAGATTCAGTAAAACTGAAATAATTAATGTTATGTTGTGTAAATCAAGCGAACCCACTGGCGGCATTCCGACAATATATAATTAGTTTAACCATGATGAATTGCATTGAATGAGCAGGTTGCATTTCTCCTTGTGAACTTAGAAATCGATACGATAAGGCTAGAATGTGAAACACAGGTTTGCAGCACCATTGATTTAATCACAAACCTATCGTAAACAGTGGTGTAATCCAGATAGCTAATGTACACTCTTCAAGTGCCACTGGCATGGTAACCATAAGTTATCGGTAATCAGTCATTCAAATTCTAAAAACATACTGGCCGCAAAAACTATTGCACTAATTGCACATTTATTAATGTTAACTAACGTGAGTAATCCCACACACCACACAAATATCACAGTTAAACATAGACGTGGAATGGCAGTCTGCAAAAATAGTGGCAATTTAGGTAAAGGGAAACCATTTATAAAGAAAGTAAGGAAAAGCTCGAATTATATGTATCCCGATACTGTCCGTGCTACCCCGATACATTCTATTATTACGTATTGTTGGCAAGTGCTACGGCGAACTACAAGTTCATGAGTTTATTGAAGTACATCTATAAACAGGTAGACTGTGTTTGCTAATAGACGCTCATTACTTCACGACTTTTTTTATCTGGAAGTTATTTTAATTATACTACTAATAAAAGTATTTCTAGCCGTGTTGAGTAATATATTAAGTTTTTGGTGGGTAATATATTAAGTATTCATTGCATGCTTTCTCTGTGGCCCACATCTTTTCCATACGCTACTAAACGCGCGGTAGTTGACAAATATCCCGAGACCCGTTTGATCTTTCGAAATGAATTTTAAATAAAGAAGTCGAAGACCCGAAAAATAACAGACCGGAATTCGGTTAGATTATCGGTTCCAGGAAATTCAAAAGAGGTTAGAATGTAGGGTTCCGAATAAATATGGCTACTACTAATAAGATCGCAATAGCGAGAGGTGTGGGACGTTATGAGGTGAAAGACATCAGGAGAAGGCAGTAATAATTTAACGAAGGAATGAGACGGGTTTTTACGGCAAAGTCGAAAGAACTAGGTTTAAGGGGCAGGTGTTTCAATACAATTTATGCTGTGCATTGAGCTGGTGTGTTGTTAGGAACTGTGTAAACGTTTTGAGGCGATGTTTTTATACATTAGGATCTGTAATTGAAACGGGCGGCAGAAAGATTGATTGCTAGGAAATTTGCTAAAAATGCCACAAAATGCATTTATCTGATTCTAGGGTTATATGTTCGAGACACAGATGTTCTTTTCTGTAAGATTTTTGTTTTTTTGATTCAGTGATTCCGGATGACGTCGCGGCTTAGTTCACTGTATCGATGCAGTAAGTAGCTAGCCACATTATCGAACCAGTTGTGAACCGAACTAGAAAAAATGAATAATGGCGCCAATGAAAAGCTGAACTGATAATGGTAGGTTAGCACGTGTCAAGTAATAGATTATGCCAATACATTGCATATAGCTATCTAAACCGTTCTAAATATTCTTAAATATTTTAAGGTAAAAGGTAAAGTCGCCTTGTTTGCTTTATATGTCCTTGTGTTTATCCTTTTTTCTATGCGGTCAAATTATTCATCATTTAAATATCTTCATTCTAGAGTTAAAAACTGCGAGCAAAGGAGCGTCAAATTAAAATGTTCTAATACTATTATTTTCTCCTGAGATTCTGTATGTTGATGATCATGGTTATCAGTATGATGTGTTATATATGGCATTTTAAATATAAATTATCCAAAGCCGTTATTCTCCACGTTACCACGCACATTTTGGTAACATTGAAAGAGACGAACCAGTGGAGTGTTTACTAAAACGTCGAGATACTTTCTGACTCAATACCGGGTAAGGACAAGCTAGCCGAAAAACTAGAAATGGGCGAACTATCTGGGTCTTAAAATAAATCAATCAAGATGAAGCAGAAATAAAATATAAGCAACTACTACGCTTATGCCCACCTTGAAACAGGTTCTTATATATCTTCTAGAACCAATAGAAAGACGCAACAAAGACAGCATGATATCCGACTAAAGGTCAACTGGGAGCAAATCTGAATGAGTCGGAGTATAGGGCAGGTCGTAGAAGGATTAACGGTTCAAAAAAAGACACGGATGCGGATTAAGTAACTTCACTAGATGTTTAACAAAATTTAAGGCAAAAAAATAAACGGCGAATGCAAATCGAAATCATCTTATTTTCTGAAAATTCCGCCACAGTTCTAGCCGCGTATTATGTAAATAAATCAGCCAAATTTGTAGTATTTCTCTAGTATAATGCATGCTACGGGCACGCATGACGACCATCTTGTGACTTTCTTTAATGTATTAATTCACTCGCTGTGCGCGTACGCTTAGCTAGCGTGATTGTCACATCACTTCTTCTAGGTATAGGAAATTGATGTTGAGCGCGTTGGAAGCTATTGTTCTTAAAACCCTTCCGCAGCAGATTTTGATATGCTTTCAATTTTTATTCAGAAACATCTAAAATAAAGCAGTGTTACCTGAAGCAAAATGTATAAGGATATATTGTTTACTGCATTTTTTCTGGTTTTATTGATTTAGCGCAAGCCCCCTGTACAGTTATTTGGGTCCATCTATAATATATCCTTGAAAGTTTCGGTAATGTTAGAATGCTTGTTTTGAGTCCTTTGGTTCTTTTATTCAGCAGTAAAGGCGCAATAAGTGGCCTAATCAAATCTATCTTGTTTGAATGGCCTAATTATAGTCTCCAAGTTCGCAGACGAAGATTTATACAGACTCATGTTTTTTAATTAATAGTGCTCCTTGTTTGCTGTTGCGATTCCCAGAAGCGCTAATTTATTCAAATACCTAAACATACAATATGCAAATTGAACAATAGACCACCTGAGTTAGACTATAACACGTCGAAGTTCATTAAATAATAACCCCAGCCATCTATAATTACGTTTATGTGGGCTACCAATTGACCGCGGTAGGCTTCTGTAGAAGGCATAAGGGGCGATTACGGTAGAAAAAAATTAAGCTCTTGGCTAAAAAATGAGCAATTGTACAATGTCACAGCTGATTCAAAGGCCAGTTATTCCTTATGCACATATTTTCGCGGTAACATTAGGATTATCTTATTTTAGTTCTTCTTATACAATATATTTATGACGTATTGTTGTAGTTCACCGCGAAACCTGTCGTACACACTTTGTTTTCTCGAAGGGCTAGTCTTTTGATTCAATGCCTAACCAAGATAGGACTGGACGTAAAACCTGAAGCATCAGTTAGAACTGTATCGCGTAATCTTAGTATTTTGAGAAAGCGACATCTTTTTCCACCCATCTTTCATTGAAAATAGGCCTATTTGACCAGGCTTGAGATTTGAACGACGCAACGTATTTACGCTGTTCTAGCGAAATTTATGGGAATGATGCAGTTGATAAATCTTTTAACGCAAACGTTTCACAGACAGTTCAGGCCGCGGTTAAGTATAAAATCCCGCATCTGTGAGCGATGTTGGTGTTCTGATTCGCGCACGGCTCTGCGTACACTGATCATTTCTCCTGTTTTTCCTCAATCCCACACATGGCCATAACGGTACACTAGACACAAGTCAAAATAAATACAACGCGTGAAGAAATCGAACAACTCTGATGGTTTTTTTGTACTTAGTTCCAGCTCTAGAGGCTCACGGTGCACCAGACGATCTAACAGGTCTTTCAATAATGAACGACTTACTAAAGTGTCTTTGTTTTTGAAATTCAACTTTTGTGTCATTCAATGAAACTCAAAAATAGATAAAAGTGAAAAAAAAAGAAAGACGTTTATCTTCGTTCAACAACATTGCCGTCGCGTTGGCATACATTTATAATGAGTGTCTTTTACATTTTGATGTCTGTGTAACTATCACACGTTTGATTGACACTGAAAACAAACGATCTTCGTTGCCAAGTGCCAAGCCTAATACGCTCCTGCAGTTATTTGAATAGCTCCTACGAGTACGCCGAAAGAATTGCGTGTGCATGTCAGATCACCGTTACGCCAGTGCGTAGACAGAACATTCATTCTATCTAAACGTAGAAATTAATAGAAATTTAGTACCGTGTACTGTATACTTGTCTATTTGATTAGAAAAAAATTGCAAGTTATTATAACAGCTACTCTCGCGGGTGTACACCTAAGAAGATCTCTCGTTCGAATACCAACAGCATTAATGTTATCCGTAACGCAGTCGTTTATGGAAATCGTGCTCCGTGAGGTGCATCTTTTCGCACGTCAAAGTAGGTTCTTGTCAGCGTCAGCAGCACTATCACAGCCAGCGCAAAAACGCACACCGGACAGTCATCGGGAAAAACAACAACCGCAGAAACTACACAGTGACATTGAACAGATAGAAACTAAATACAGACTTCAACCTGTAACTTATGCCGTGGATGATTTTCGATCGATAATCAACACCGAAAAAGACGCAAAGAAAGTCCACATTATCCTCCTCGAGCTCGAATCACTGCGCATAAATGGGGACCTTGCACCCTGCTACCTAAATAAAAAGGATATGCTTATTCTCATGGATGAAGCATCCCTTTCGAACAGAGTAAAATACTTGAAGTGAGTTGTTACATAGTTGTTGCATGATCGAGTTTTAGAATTAGATATAATAGAATCTTTCTTTGAGTCGTTGAATAAATGACTCATTAATAAGGTGTTAAATTTTATACTCGCAAGCAGAGGCTCTCATAAGTTTGTTCTGTAGTTGTTAGAAATACAAGCACAACTTAATTAAGCAGGTGAGTTCTATATATATATATTTCTTGTCGTTACAGCTATATGTATAAGGCAGAGAAGAGAAAGTTTCGTATGAAAGTTGAAAAGGAGATAAACCGCTTGAAGCGCGACGCAAATCCGGCGAAGCCCATATTGATGGATCGTGGTATTTATCCGATTATCAGACCTCAACAAGAAGCCTTATTCTTCAATAGCCGATTAGCGACGGCGGCTCAATTTGGACAGAAACTCGTTCTTGACTGCTCCTTTGAAGCAAATATGAACCGAAAACAAATTGCATCCCTCGGCACGCTGTTACGGAACACCTATTCGTCGAATAGGGTTGGGAACATATGTCAAACTATCTGTGTGCTTTCGTATTAGGGGACCTAAGTCAAACAGAAATACAACCGACGGGCTTTCTCTTGTAGGGATTTACTTGAATGCGTTTGAGCGTCGTGTGATGTAGTCGCATGTACAAGATAGAGGAGATGGATGTATTGGGACCGATGGTAACTGTCGATAAAAACCAAAAGACTACTTTTCCAGTTACATATTATAGTTCTGTTAGAAATGTTGTTACCGAGAGGTTCTTCACTAAGAATAAATCCACCCAATCACTGCAAGCCACCCTCCACAACTGGACCATAAAACATGTTGATTCATAGAGAGCCTCAATGATAAGCAATATAGCGTATGGCTCTGAAGATTATTGAAGAAATCTGGCTTAAGGACACTTTTTATGTTGAGATGTTCAAACTTTAGAAAATTTGTTGAAATGTGTTTTCGTTTCGACGTAACAATTTCAAGTCTCAACAATGCTTCAGTGTTTTTATACTGTTTAGGTTGTTTGTATACCTTAATGGTGGAAATATTTTCAGTTACTCAAACAAACACAGAAACACTCAGGGGTTAATTCGGAGAGATGGACATAAAGCGCTCTCTTATAGTGATCCATTTAGGAAAAGTTATTATTTCTATCCAAGTTGCCCGGTGTTTCGGATTAAACCGTCTCAGAATTGCGGGAGCTCAATAGTTAACTTAATACATTAGACAGATGTTATTTGAAAAGGCCTCCTCCTTAGCTTTGTGTTCACAGGATTTCTGATACCTGGCATTGTCATTTACTATATTGGGGATATTATATTATGCCAAACTTGACCAGTTTCAAGACAGGCGTTTATAGTGAAGTATGCCGTTACATATATATAACAATCGTTTACATATATCCGAACGCATTTTATCCATATTTACGCTTAGTATTTCGTACTTCAGATTTCGCGAGAACCATTCGATATAATCCTGTCGGATATTCAACGAGGAGACGTGTTGGACAAAGTCCTCGACATGTGTCTGCCAAATCTGAACAGTCACAGCTGCCTCATCACGAAAAGCTACGCTACATATCTCGAGATGTTTCCGAAGGAACGGATCCTTTATCTGACACCTAATTCGAACAACGTAATTATGAAATGGGATCCGGAAGCGGTGATTGTCATCGGTGCACTGGTCGACAATGCAAGCGGAAGACCCCTCACATTCGCAAAAGCTTTACGACAGGGTGTTAGACATGGCAAACTGCCGGTCGGGCATTATCTGCCGATGTTTCGGATAAATACCTCAGTATCCTTGACGTTCCATGCCGTTGTCGATATCTTATTGGAGTTAAAGCAATCGAACGACTGGAAGCAAGCTTTCACCAAGATACCCAAGCGAATCATAACTAGTGTTGAGAAGGTGCGAGCTAGCCAGCATCCAATATCGCATAGGCCTGGTTGGAGTCTAAAAGAATATAATTAGTAATTTGTATATGATCCGAGTATAAATGAATAGACTTCAATTACAATGTTTTGGTGATAAAACTATTGTAGAGTTTTGCGTGCTGACTATCAGGGACATAACGGCTGGTATCTTCTTTTTATTAAATTGAATGTAGAGCATATTGATGAGCGAGATGAGACGCTGTGCATAATTTGTATAGTTGTTTATGTCACGTTTTGCATTAGGAGGTCGCTAAATGGGTAAAAGAAAAATGGTAGAAAATTTTAAGATAGTTGAACAAAGACAACTTTTAGAGAATGAAAAACATTGCAGGGCATTGCCAAATAGGATAAATTTGTGGAAGTGGATTGGCTTTTTTGTACTGTAGAATGAAGAAGGTAGATGGTAAGGTAAGCGTGTTGTGTTCTTAATAAAGATTTTGTTTTCCATTAAACAAGTTTGTGCGTTTTGATTCTATCTAGAGCTATTGTTTTATGTAAAGCCTCATAAATCCAAGATAAATTCATGAATTCAAGGCAATGGTCAAGAATTTTCTTGCTTTATGTTGTATCTTAATGAGGTAATCTCGGTTAATGTCGTCAATTCCAGGCTTGTACAGCCAGTATGACTGAATGGTATCTTAATTGTTTGTGAGTATATGCACCGATATGCAAAGCTATGATCTTCTACAAACAACCCGACTTTTGTTCCTTCATAGATCAAATAATAATTTGTCAGTGGGCGAAGTCCGTTACAGAAAACATCGTTAACTAGCGCGAAATGACGCGCAAAGTTGAGGTTTCTTATGCAGAGGGCTTAGTAATTAATTTACTTCCATAGCATACATTTTTGCTATGAATATATTGTCAGATTTGAAATAAGTTCTTGCTATAAATTGTGGTCTGAATATATGAAATTCAGAAATATCAATCGGTGCGTCCGAAAGCTTTTTTGACGCCTGCAAAGGTTGCAGATGTTGAGTGATAATACTGAGATAACTACAACGAATGATACAATAAGGGAAAATGGCAACAAAAGGCTTTGCGTTGTCAACGCAATTGTACACAGTAAAAGTCGATGATGATGAATGCGATTCGCGTTTGTCTACTTGACAGTTGGACAGTATCAGAGAAATTAACGAGAATGATGGAATTTAAGCGTCTATTCGGTACGTATTCTAAGCTTTAGTCCATTTGGCGGAATAGATCAGGGGAACGGTATGGGAAAGAGTAGAGAAGATCGTTTAAGCGAATAGTGTGATTGGATCAGAGACTATGTTTAGCGTGAACTGATTCACCAAGAATAGACAGCAGTCATCAAACTTGTCGTACATGTTATTTTTTTCATTTCTTATTTTTTGACGTCTTGGGTTATTTTTTCTATCTAAATAAGTTTTCGGAATCGCCGCTTGTCTATGGGATCAAAAACTTGCCCCCACCAGAATGCCCAGTTCGGATGAGTCTTGTTGGACTTATCTGGAATTGTTCTAGCAGACCTATAAAACGGTATGATAACCTTTTGTCTACGTTGAAATATAAACCAGCCTGATTGTATATTCATCGCTAATATGGCAATACACTTAAAAAGATGTGCATCAGCCACTCAGACAACGCCGTTTCAATGTATATTCCGTTTGCTTTATCACAAGTTTCGAAGAAAATTTTCTAAACATTTAGGTTCAAATGACCCGCAATTCTTTTTATATGAGACGGTCAGGTAGAAATAAATAGGTTGTACTTTGCAACAATACATCAAATATTCTGGGTTTATGATAAATTCGGAGGGTTAACAAATGATAAATTATCGATGAGATCCGAATCACATTACAATAAGGATCTATATATGTGTGACAACTGCTATTAATTGAAACAGATTGTTAAAGAAACGGCAGATTTTTTTAGAAGAAACCTTTAGAAAGAAAGATTAACTGAAACAGATTGTTAAAGAAATGGCGGTTTTTTTTGGAAGAAACCTTTAGAAAAAAAGGCAGAACGTTTCGTTCAGAATATCGTCCGTGTTTTTGGCATCAGGTAAATATTAACATTTTTAGCAAAAGATAAATCGTATTTTATTTTAGGGGGTTATAGGGTCAATTACGGTATATGCCCCGGGCAGGCTAATGTTTACTTCAACTACTCTCAGTTCCTGTCAACTAGAGCCCCGATTATTTAAAAAGCACCATAACTATTATGACGCGATAGCGCAACTACCTGTACCGTTCTGTCAAACTAGCCTTCTTATATGAATTAGTAAGTCAGTGTTGTTAAGAAAACAGTACCCATGAATGGAGCCTAGAGCACTCAGGTTAGCGGTGTATACCTTTTAGTTGTCGACGACCATTGTGAATATAAAACCGTTTGGAGCAGGTATGTTTTCGATGTAGTCTGAACACTTCCGTCATCAACATCCATACAAAATTTATGTAGTACTTTACAGAATTCGAGGGTAACCGTCCGAGCGATAGTTTGACAATAGTCAAGCATTCTCAAAGCGACTCAAGCATTGAAATCTAATGCAGTCCTCGTAACTGACAAATAGGCAAAACGATGGATAATTATCATGTTGTGCATAAAGCCGCTACACCGGCGTTGGAAGTTGTTTCAGCTCGAATCTTACAATTATATGTAGGTCAAATGCGTCGAAATTAGTGAAAGCACGTTTTTTTAGAATTCGTACGACTGCACGCAAGAAATCAGAACTATCAACAGCTTTTCCAATCATGGCTGAACAACTTGCTAACTGCTGCTTCGTTCTCGCCTTGATGAGCCCGATGAAGCTCGAACAGAGCCTTCATCAACACTGGACTTTGAATAAGGTCGACACTGTCCGGAGCGAAGAGATCCATCTATGCGAATAAACTACGAATAAACTACTGAAAGAACTAAAATAACTAATACTGAACTATATATATAAATATGCATCTAAATCGAATATGGTTCTACATTGATATTATGTAAAGAAAACGAAAATAGCCATCTTTATGCCAGTCTTTTGCTGCTTAGATTTGCCAGGGGGTAGTTTGCTTTTCACAGATGTCAAATCTCACCCTTGACATTGATCCCACATTAGCGATAACAATTGTATATATTTCTTTGATGATGATAATTTGAGACGAATAATGAAATGATATATTTACAAGAATGATAATAGTAATTGAACTAAGTTGAACAGAATAGTCACTACAGGAAAAACAACTTGCAGTAACAGTTAATCTACAAAAGCTATTATCCTCTCTCAAGATTGTTCTGCACCTTTATAAGCTCCGTTACAAATCCGGCTCGGTGTGATGCATCGTAAGGGCGTTGATCAGATCGAATGTTTACTTTACTAACGACTCAAATCTCACCTGAACATTTCAATGGTTCGCGCACGCCGAGATTTTAAGCTGTTGAAGAAAGATCGTGCCTCTGTATCTTAACTTCTTTGACTGCCAGCTCTTTTAGACGGACATCTTCGATGAAATTGAACTTACATCGAAATAGATTGCGCCGTAAATGACAAGCTTTCTTCGTAAATGATATGAAGATAGCCGAATAGGCGCGGCGGAAAGGTTTTGGCTGGAAATTCTTCTGGATTAGGGTAGCACTTGTTAAGAACGCCACGAACGTGTCTAAGTTCCGTGCCGTATGTGTCTAGCAACAGGAACTGCGGGGGATGCTGCAATGACACCTGGGCGTTGTTCAGCTTGGTAACGTGGATCATGCCCAATTCACATAGGCTGATCTGCAAATAAAATCAGACTAATAATCTTTAGTGTCAAATTGTTGTAATGATCGACAATATCTCCCCATGGTTTATCTTCATGGACCTCTGCGATCTTTAGCGTACTCTGCGGAAACACCGCCGCCAGTGAAAAACATCACCCAAAGTCTCAGACATGTATTCTATATAACGCGTATAACATCTTATAAGAGGTCACGTCTCTTCGTACTCCAAGACTCTTTGACGATTCTATGTTCACTAATTTCTTTATCACTTGTATAAAGATGACCAAATATCTCGATGATCACCCCGAAAAATATTAAAGTACCTCGGCTGATTGGCCGATCAAAAGCAACCCACGTTGCTGTAAGCATACAACTTAGACACTAAATAACTGAAATAGCTGGTAGAAGCTTATTTCTTTCAAGCTCTTTAAAGGAAAGATAGTACGGAGTCCGTAACAGTACATTTGAAGTAGCGTGAACAAATCGGGTAGGGTACCAAATTTTTAGGTGTTCTGCGAGGTGGCGCTGCAGTGGCAGCACCATGAGTGCCATCTTTTCGAGTTACAATGAAGATTTTCCTTCGCATAATACCGGTATTCGTCAACTGTGTGAACGAATCGCTTTAGTAATCCTTCTCGGGCTAGATATTGACTATTAGAAGAGATACCAACGGAAACAAAAAGAACTGAAAAATTAAAATGCAAAGGTTTCTATAAACACTTCAATCCAAGATGACTGGTTTCGAAACGGTGTTGGAAATATCCGATGATTCAAACGTTTCTTCCGCCACTTTTTCGAAATATTCTTGATTATTAACGTGTCTACAAGCTGGAACGTTCCTGATCGGTGTGAGTTGGTTTTCTAAACGCTCAAAAGAAAAAGGTTTTTAGATTTATATGTCTACTTAATCACGCATTTTGCTATTAAGTATTTAGAAGCGATACTGGCAAGTCTAGTGCGGTCAGTTAATTCATTTTACACGTTTTACTTAGTTTGTAGAACGCTTCGCTTTTGAAACGGCTTTTTGTGTCTGTCTCTTAGGTAGAGGCAATTTTAACAAGAGATTTACGTAGAAGAACGAGTGTCATCTTGAAGAGGCTCTGTGGATTAACAGACTTCGTCGGATCGGTCAATACAGTTGTAACGGTATCATGGACACACCTATCGTGCCCTCGAGCTAAGATTTACATATCGCTCCCTTACGCTTGGAACTCTCAATTTTAGTAGCAAATGAACGAGAAAGGCAAAACATCAACGGACACTCGCGTGTCACCTGTACGACTTATTTTTTCTAAGTGCTTTGACAGTCCGCGGCGAGGGATTGATCTTTATGTGGCGTGTTGACTTCGCTAAAAGCAGAAAAAGGCAGCCAAGTAGTTAGCAGCTACATAGAATTATATATCATACCCAATGAGTAACGCTCTAACTTTCTATGAAATATAGATTTTTTGAATGTCAAGTGAGGAGGTTCAGTGTCTAAAGGCTAAGTACACAGACGAACGAGCAGGTTTCTCTAGCTCAGTTTATAGTCGAGCTAATTTTTGATTGCACTATTCGTACTCCCCATATCTCTGTTAGTTCTTACATTCACAGTCTGTTCGCACATTCAGTCAGCTATTATTGTTTCTATCTGGCATATTTATTTATTGTGCTTCTGATTATACAAGGTATACAGGAGGTAGCTTATGCTTGTTTATAATTAATACACTTGGATCTGAGAGCGGTACGGCTGTGAGGTAC